AGTGAAAAAGCGTACGTGCATGGAAAAATGAAGTCTGAAATACCACCAAAGACTTGCTGGAGAATTCACTCAAATCACTAGTGATTCTATTCCTAAATTTTCTAATTCACGAAACTTCCTCAGTCTACCTGAACTCGCCATGGCTTTCTCAAGGCACTCACCTAATGCAATGGTACCGGAGCGCAGGAGACCAGCTTTTGTGGGGGTCATCAAGAGTCTTTATATTATTTCTTACAAAAGATAATCTAGAAGCCACCCTTGTCGCCAGTCAAGCACTGGGCTAGATCTTTTCCGACAGCCTTAGTCACTTTATATACACTGCCAGGAAGTGGGAATTCTCGAGGAATCTCTTTGTAGAGAATCCAAGCGGGTGTAAGATCTATACGTTTCGACGTGTAGGTGAATTGGCCTTGGTAGTTGACGGTAATGAGACCACCATCTTCTAGCACTCGATGAAGTTGACGCACAAGATGCTTGTGCTTGGACATGGGTGGGATGATGGAGAGATATCTCCGATAGACGTATCGCAGCTCAATTTCGCAAGTGCCTCAACAATATAGGCTAGAACTAGATTCGCTTCGCAAGGGGAACATCTCTTCCAAAATCTCAGGTCCGAAAGAAAATTGGGTCTTGTTAAAGCCCTTAATCACTAACAGAAAATTGATACCAAATTCTTCGAGTATCGAATCAAGGGTGACTCTCTCATCAAGAATATCTGTGGGATCGTGCAAGACTTCCAAGATTTCAGTATTCTACTAGACCTTGCGGGAGGTCCCGAGGCTAGGATCGCGGCTGCGAGAATGTGGTGGTTGGGACTCCTAAATTTTTTAGTATAGGATTCTTTCATTTAAATTGAATCCGGATTAACAACGTGTTTTGGAAGCTTGAGCCATCTGTTAGTATTATGATGGCGTGGAGAGCATATAGAGATGCAGGTGAGAGGGCTCGATTGGATGCCACGGCACCAATATAGCAGCACAGTCATTCGGTCGATTGTGATCAGGACTGGGATGACCTAGGGATTCCAGAGCTTGGCAAATGACTTCGAGTAAATGAACTCTAGTAAACGCATTCTTTCAGAGTCTTGGGAGATGATTCTGCGCCCAAGTTCTTGAAGGAGTGGCCAAAACTTTCGAGGTCGTCAATAAAGTTTCCCCAGAATTCACCGTTGACGTGATCAGTCGATCTATGGGTAACAATATTCAAACCATTAGATTGACTTTTCGCGACCACAGGGATATCGTAGGATCCCCAGATCCATCAGCGTCGGCTACAACAGGGAAGTGACATGAGATTCTCATCACTAAAAATGACTAAGATTAGACATTTTTCGGTGCACAGCTTCCTTTGCATATGCCCGCAAAATACCTAATCTCAACCACCCATGATGATATGCATGCATTAGCGAGTGGATCTTTTCCCCTTGAACATGTAGCGAGTCTAAAGAGCCAATTTTACCAGTTAGGAGGTACGCTTGTGTATGGGTATTGAGAAGCGAATTTTAGATAAAAATTGAATGACAGGTGGGGAGCACCGTCAGCCCTAGCCTAGCCTGCTGAACGGGGACTGATTTAAACTCATCATAAAACTGCAGCAGCTTTTGTCTCGGTTTGGCTCAGCGACACCATGAATAGCATGCATGTCTCTATGTCAATCATGCGTATTCATAAGGCACGGAGTAGACTAATCAGGCTACCCTCGCTTCATAAGACAGTTACAAACAAAGTCTTTCAACCAACTGCAGTTCAAATAAGCTTTCTAGCCGAGCCATCAGATAAATCAACATGCATATCCAAGCTCGCGCCAAGGTTTCCAGTAATCCATCCTATGTATATTAAAAATCAGCCATCCGCATCACGCTAGAAGCAGGACTTTCCTATCTGAGAGCTAAGCAAAGGATTACCAGCTTGGTATACAATAGTTTGCGACGGATGACGGCTCGAGGACGGATATCAATCCGCATACGATGTAGATATCGGAGAAGGAGTTTCGGAAATGTCCGACCCCGGTCATTTACCGGATGGCTGGATATCGAAATTCGGACTTTGGGGAATTGTCCTGATGGCCTTATGACGATAATGCTATCACAGGGTTCTTAGCATGGGATTATAGTCCCGATTTACATTCGACGTCATCAGAGAAGTATCCTCGGCTTTGGTATTCACGCAGGTCATTGCGTTTGATAGGAGGATGGGCTCTCGGAGAATTCTGTGTGGGATTGAGGATAGAAGTGAATGATTAATAATCATCTGTGAGCTTTAAAGTAGTAGTAGTCTTGCTGTCTCATATCGTGGTCGTTGACATTCTACTTGAAAGTTGAAAACCATAAATTACACTATAGAAGGTTGCTTCAAAAGGAACGGCTTAGCCGATGACAGCATAACCTTACTTAGCGCTAGGTCAACATCCACACATACACACACACATCCACTGCCACATGAACCTTACGCTTACCCAAATAAGTTAGCGGATAGGTTAGATTAGATTAGATTAGTAGGTAAATCATCGGTTCTAGTACCTACACGCTGCTTATATCCGTCTATATACCCAGGTAGTCATATTCATATCGTCGTACCTACCACAAAGATCCAAGATATATAAAAAACTCGCGAATAAGAGATGCTGTTTGGATGGGACTGGGAACAATCTATTGAGTTTCCTAGATGGGATTAGATTAACTCGAACATAATCGAGTCTGGGTCGGATGAGCAAGGGGGGCTGTCAGACTTCTTGGGATTTAAAATTCGTTTGTCTATGTATATACATATATTTATGTATGTATACCTGTATGTACGTATCTTTAACGTAAGTCATGGCGTAATGCGTCTAATGGCGTAATGCGTCTAATTGCGGGGAACCACTCTATTAAAATCTCAATTACTCAACAATCAACTATAATACAATCTCCAGTATCACTTTCAGATTCATCTTCAACTTCTTCTCCAATATCCTCTTCAGTTTCAGTTTCATATTCAATTACTTTCCCTTTCCCTTTTCCTTTTTTCATTGTCTGTACCTTAGTAGCTTTTTCGACTTCCACTACTGCATCACATAATTCTTGCGTAGAAATATGAAAATGACCCTTCAAAACTAGTCTCTTTCCTTTCTTATGTATCGTACGTTTCTTCATAATAGCTCGTAAATTATTCGCATCGTGTTGATGAACAATACTTTGAGCTCGAAGTTGCTCACTCCCAATCGTCAATTTTCGAATGTATTGACGAACCGGGGTTGAAAGAGTCGTATCATTTTCAATTGTTGAATTTAAAAGGTTATTTGCTGTTTGTAAGATTGCTACATCCGGGGGTGAGCTATTGACGAAGACTTGGTTAAAAATATCAAATTGGGTTGGTTCTTTAGATATTTCGACTTCGGGGGTAAACTCTCGATCCAGTGTACGGAACACTCTCTGTGGATTAAATGGATGTAACCCAGCTCCCCGCCATGCCGATTCGATATTTTGATGATGGCATACGTCGGCTCGAGCTTTAATATATGCCTCCATCCATTCAATCTTTTGTATTCGTACAAGTTGAGCTTGATTCAAATCAGAAAGTGCTGCGGTGAGCCGTTTTTTCAATGGACCGAAAACCGCAACATCAAGTGGCTGAAGCAAATGCGAGGTATGAGGAGGAAGTATAAGAAGTACAATTCGATTTTGAAGGCAGTGAGCTATAAAGCTTCCACTAATATGAGAATCGTGGCCATCGCAGATGAGAAGCCGATATTTGCCACCTGCTTTTGCACGAGTTGCAGGTTCGAAAACGCGTTTTAGCCATTCTAATCCATGAAGATTGCTTGTCCAGCCCTTTGTATTTGCTGAAAAGAACCAGCTACCAAGAACTTCCTTCGGAATCCAATTTTGAAGGACATTTTTACCTTTAAAAATCCCGAGTGGTGGAAGAATGGATTCATCCGCACAAATACACTCTACCATTGAAATCCACTCTTGACGGCCTGGATGTGCTTGATGTTTTGTACGAAGTGTAGAATCGATAATAATTCGAGTTGATTCCATTGTCCCAATTGAATGTCCAGATTCATCCATATTATATTCGTCTTTCTTCTCAATTCCATAATCCTGAATCGCTTTTTGATACGCGTCAAACCAAGTACTACATGTTTCCCTGGTTGCACCATCCATTCTTACAGATTCAATTCGACGGCCAATAACAACTGTAAGATGAGGATGTCGTTTGATAAATCGTGGAACCCATTTATGACCAAGAAGGTGTTGTGGTGGGAGTTCAAGGGAGTCAAATGAGAGGCAATCCAAATTATAAGTCCGTTTTGAACGTAACTCCTCAACCAATTCTTTTAACAACTAATGGCCTGGTGAATAGCCACTAATTGTCAATTGCTTTATCCACTTAAGAAGTACATTCTCTTGTACAGCAGAAAGTTTCTGTTGCGATTGACGTGCTTCAGAACGCGATGAACCCTCTTTGACGCGTCGCGTCACAGTATCTTTAGAAAGCCCCAGTTCTTTTGCAGCTTCATATGAAGACTTATACTTTCCATTTTGAACTCCTAATACTGCTTCAGAAAGTCGAGATTCCATTTCCTGCACTTTTAAACTTTTTCGACGGACCATTGTTGAATTGTTGCTTTTTTGATGGGGTGGTCCCCCACAATTAGACGCATTACGCCATTAGACGCATTACGCCATTAGACGCATTACGCCATGACTTACGTTATGCTTTTTGGATATCTACCCTCGTAGTTTATTGCTATCTCTAACTGAAGGAGAATACCACCCATCTTTGGCTTTCAAGTCTCAACTCATATCTTCTTGCTTCTCTCCGTTGTCTGATGTAATGCATCCCAACCTCCTCCCTCCTCCATCCACTTCCCCAACATCCCATTCCAGCAAATCGAACTTCAAACTCCAACCTCCACCTCGGGCTTCTCACCACCCCTCCATCTCTCACCATGCCTACCAACACATGCATAAAGCGCGTTCTCAGCGCCCTTGAAAAAGATCCCTCTAAAATACCTAAATGTTACTTACAACGACAATAGCATCACACCTAAACAATATATTCCCCGATCTGGTAAACTCCCCACTCTCCCAATCCAAAATCTCAAACTCCTAACCACCCCATTCCACAGAAGCCCTCCCCTCCCCACCTCCCACCCCTCACCGATACCATCCTCCACTATATCCAACCCAACTACACCCTCATCCCCCGCGGTCTCCTCACCACCAGCTCCCCCTTCATCGCGAACTATATTGGTCCTGCTCCTCCACCCGGTAGTGCACCACACCAATACACCTTTTTCCTATGCACGCAGTGGAGGAAAACGCTGAGAAATTGGCATCGGATGCGCTTTGGAGAGAATGGGGCTGAGGGGATTGATTGCAGTGAAATGGTTGTGAGTAACTAGATGGGTTGGTTTTGTAGTGGGAGATTATTTGAGTTGGGACTTGCACTTGAGACTGTGTTCAGTAGAGAGAGATAGAGGTATACATTTTATCGCTCATCGTAGGGACTTGGCAGGAAGATACCTACATAATCAATGAAATCTACAAAAATAATCCTCATCTCGTTTTACTTCGCACATCTCAACGAAAACAGAACTTGAAATATCTATCTATCTCATTTCCATCTATGTACCTACACACCTCAACATTTAACGCTATAATCCGCAATCTCTACTTTCCTTTTCATCTAATCCTCACAAAATTCAAAATTCAAACATCGCTCTACATTTTCATACTTTCTAGCTATGTAAGATTACAAAACATGGAATCTTACATACACTTGACTCCCCCAGTATAAGAGAGAAAATGAAAGGTTAGATGCGTCATCTCATATCATGACTCGTGAGTAGATCCACGCAGTATACTTTCTCTCCTCGCCTGAAATCGCACCTCGCTTGAACTCCAGCTAAATTCGATCTGTGATTCGTCGGTCATTACATCATACAATTACCCATTAACTCATAGCTCAACCACAAATTATACAACAGCATGCTAACCCATCGCATCCCAACCAACATCACTCCAAAAACTCCACAGAAGTAAGAATCTACACAACACAAGACCATGATTCACCACACAACCAGATCTCCCGCCGCCAGATTCCCATTTCCCCACAGCACAGCGCATCACCCTACTCCCAAGCTAAGTACAGTACAGCACTGAAACCAACCACAACCCAATATCATATCCATCGCAGAAAAACGAAGCCCCCAAATCCCACCAGACCACGCAGGATCAGTACAACTACCATACCATTTCATTTGCAGTATACCAAGTATATACATCCACAGCATCCGCATTTCAATTCCATCCACAAATCCCCGCGATGAGGATGCAGGAAAGCCTACAAATATATATATATATATATATGTGTATCAGGATTAAACTCAATTCAGACCACTGCTGATGTAACCCTCTCCATCTATACTAGAAAAACCCCCTTGATACAATCGTAGAATAGAACACAAATTCATTACCTGTGCTCGAAGTTCCGGATTCTGGTGTTGTTATGAGATCTTGAGGACGATTGGATGTGGAGTTTGCGGCTGTACCTGGTATCGCCAAGGTTCTCATTGTAGACTACGGAGCACGTACAAGTTCTCTTGTTTTGCGAATGGGTATTATCTCTGCTGAAGGAGATGTTGTTGAAAATAGTTCGGTATTCACTCCAGGCAATCTCAATCCATCGAATTTCGCGAAATCCAAGATGAAATCTCCACAAATCAAACTCCAAGATTATCTATCTTCATCCATGACTTTGTCAAAGACTGCAATGTACCTAGTTAACTTTACTGAAGTACCGGTAACTAATCGGTACACCAGAAATTCTCCATGTGTAGTGATCAATGGATCACTTAAAGACCTAGGAGAGAACCGACTAACTCCCCAGGATCGGCGAGCACGACTACTAAATCTACCCACTTTCATGAGCATGAGATGAACTCTCAGATAGACTATAAAAGTCCCTCTACTCCAAGTGGACAGCAGGGTTAGACATCGTACTTACTAAGATAACACAATGGCATCGCAATGATATCAGCGGAAAACAACATTCGTAACTATGATTAAGGCTAAATACTATCCTCCAAACAGCCCCCTATACACGAAACCCTCAGTTCACATAACCCAGCCCAAGTTCTTTTTCCTCAATGCCATAAACAACCCCTTTAATAAACATAAGCATTTTGACCCAACGGCAACCAATCCGCCGCCTCACAAACAATATGTACACCGTCTGCTTCAACTCTATAATTTTCCGGATCGACCTTCATCTTCGGCATCTGATCATTAAACTTCATATCCTTCTTTCCAACTATTCTGCAATTCTTCACCGCCTCTACGCGACTTTTCAAACCATATGTCGCAATCGTACCGGACGAAATTGATGATTCAGAGACGAAGAGAATAGATGTAGAGGGAACTAAAGGTGCAAACATGGGGCGAGAGATGATAGGTTGAACTGTTGGGATGGAAGCGTTAGGATCGCCCTAAAGTCTGATTAGCAAAGAATTCGAGAGGACATGGGTGAGGATGATATACCATTTGAGCGTAAGCGATCATGCCACTCTTAATAATTGTCGTGGGTTTAGTTCCAAACCAAGCTGGATCCCAAACGACCAGATCTGCGAGCTTTCCCACTTCAATACTGCCAATAACATGTCCCATACCTTGAGCAAGCGCTGGATTAATCGTATACTTGCTAATATATCTCTTAACTCTGAAATTGTCTGCTCCAGTACCCAGATCTTCTCCGAGTACACCGCGTTGGACTTTATTTTTGTGGGCTGTATTCCATGTTCTCATGATAACTTCTCCACAACGACCCATTGCTTGGGAATCGGAAGACATCATACTGATTGCTCCTAAATCATGGAGAATATCTTCGGCTGCAATTGTTTCGGCACGAATTCGTGATTCTGCAAAAGCGACATCTTCGGGAATATTCTTGGAAAGATGATGACAAACCATAAGCATGTCTAAATGCTCATCGAGTGTATTTCTAGTATAAGGTCTTGTAGGATTGGTAGAGGAAGGGAGAACATTCGCATGCTCGACAACACTAATGATATCAGGTGCATGACCACCGCCAGCTCCTTCTGTATGATAAGTGTGAATAACACGATTTTTGAATGCAGCAATCGTAGATTCAACGAAGCCTGACTCGTTTAGAGTATCGGTATGAATTAAACATTGAATATCGAGTTCGTCGCAAACCGTAAGACAAGAATCGATAGCCGAAGGTGTAGTGCCCCAATCTTCATGTAATTTGAGTCCACAAGCTCCAGCAATAACTTGCTCACGGAGTGCAGCGGGATCACTGTCATTTCCTTTGCCTGTTATTCCAACATTCATTGGCATGGTATCACAAGCTTGAAGCATTTGTCGCATATAATTCTTTCCAGGTGTGCAAGTTGTAGCACTAGTTCCAGCGCTATTTACATATTAGATAGCATATAGCAAAAGTTTTTATTTCACTTACCTTGGGCCAGTTCCACCTCCTAGCATCGTAGTAATACCAGATGATATAGCTTCATTGATTTGTTGAGGGCAGATGAAGTGAATATGAGTGTCGAAGCCACCGGCAGTAATAATTTTGCCTTCCCCAGCAATAACATCTGTACATGATCCAACGATCATATTTGGACTAACGCCATCCATCACATCTGGGTTACCAGCTTTACCAATACCTACTATTGTACCGTTTTTGACACCAATATCGGCTTTATAAATACCAGTCCAATCAACAATCAAAGCATTAACAATAACGAGATCCAGTGATATATCATCAGATATACCTGTAGCCTGGCCCATACCTTCTCGTAAAGTTTTACCGCCACCAAACTTACATTCATCGCCATAATATGTCAGATCCTTTTCAACCTTGATCCAGAGATCAGTATTACCTAGACGAATAGTGTCACCTACAGTTGGTCCGAACATTGTTGCGTATGCTTTTCTATCCATTTCGAATGCATCAATATATGCAGCATCTCCACTTGGATCTGGGGTATGCGCGAAACCTGCCTCTTGAAGATTGACTAGAATTTCTTCCACTCGTGAAATATCCACCTTGCCAGTAGCAACGTGGTTTCCACCTCGGATGACTCTGTTGCCACCAATTTCTACTAGTCCTACGGTTTTAGTATCTCCAGGCTCGAATCTGACAGATGTACCGGCTGGAATATCGAGTCTGTAACCATATGCTTTGATGCGATCAAAATCGAGTTGTGGATTTGTCTCAATGAAATGATAATGAGATCCAACCTGCCAATATGAGCAAGTGATTACTGCTTTAAAATCATAGACTCACTTGTATTGGCCTATCTCCCTTGCTTGTCACTCTCAATTTTATTCTCTTTCTCCCTTCATTCAGCTTAACCTTACCTTTTACAGTAATCAAAGCACCAGGCCGTTTGGTTGATTCGTATTCCGCATTCAATGGCAATGGGAAAAGATCTATATCCGGAATTGGAAGAAAGCTTCCATAGAGAGCCTTCGCCAAATCTCCATCATCTGTACTAATTGGATGGTGTACCGTCACCAAGTATGTTCCTGTTGGAAAAGTGCCTTCGACCATAATTTCTGTAAGAGTCGAGCAGACCGCAGGTTGGACATGACGACGCCCGAGCATTGTTGAGCCAATTGACATGAGATCCGCCACTGTATGATTTCCATCGCGAATGAGCTTTGAGGTCGTCAGTTCGTACTTTTTTCCTGCTATTATGGGAAAGGTGGTGGTCGCCAGACCTCTTGAAGATTATTCGCTATAAGCGCCTTGTATCAATTAGTTACAATTGTTTTGAAAAGTTTTCGAATGCCTGGAAGAACTTACAACTGCTTCGGAATGATTGAGCTTTACTCCTCGCGCAAGTCTTCGTTGTGCTAGCAGACCAAGCTGAGAGATAGCAAGCTTATCTATCTGTTTTGTTGATCCCAAAAATTAGCTCCCTTGCTTGAAAGCTGCTGCGATAAGGGTCTGGACTTACTTCTTTAGGTATGAGATGCATCTTTGAGATTGCTATGTATCTCCTCTTGAATCGAATATGAACAATTGCATTAAATGATGTTTTGTCGAAAACTAGATGTGATTTGGAGCTTCTCAAATGTTAAAGTTTTGGTAAGGATTTAGAGATAAGGCACACCTCTCCGTCTATCTAACTGATAAGGGAAGATTATGACAGGGATGGATGTGTCAACTGAATTTTGGCAAAGTCGAGATGTTAAAGAATCATTTTCAAGGTCAAGGTCAAGGGTAGAGGTAGAGGTAGAGGTAGAGGGCGGTTCATACATTTCATCGATGAACGGGTACTACCGAATCGCGCTGTCAGTTATACAAAGCACATGCATAGCACAACTAATCTTGAATTATCGTACCTACCTAGCTAGTGGTATCCCTTACAACGGTTCTTTTGGGCTAATCTATCGTACATCTCAAAAGAGAGAAAAAATGCTTCTTCTGAAGACTCTCCCTGCTGTGACTGGTTCAACAGCTTTCCTTATAATACGCCAGTGTTCCAAACAAGTTTCAAGTAATTAATCCATTGCCAATATTTTCTTCCAAAACACCAATTCCTAACCAGCCCTCGATCCCTTTAGTCCTTCAAACGCACAATGCATACATGGTATAAAACGCCAGAGATTGACAAGAAAAACCTTGCCACGCCGAAATGCTCATCAAATCATTAATATTTACAGTTGGACCCCTAAGAATAGCCGGGGAAAGCTTTCGAAAATGCGCGACGGACTATCGTGGCTCGTTAGTTTGATATGAGTTTGAAATTGAGAAGCGCTTACAGAGCGACCGATTCCTCCTTTGGACCAAATCTGGGTCTTCTAACGACGGCTGTTGTGCTGTAAGTTCCTGAATCCGTTGCTGGGCTCTCTCTTGCCGAGAAAGGCCGTCTTGTATCACCTCAACTCCTAATACGCTATTGGTCTGTGATTGGGGATGTACTGCACTTGTCATAAATGGCGGTCTCGTTGCGATCGGTGATGCGACTGTCATTTGTACATTGTTCGTTGGGACCGTAGAAGTATCAAACCTTCGCCCGTTGAAACTAGTGCCTAAGATTCGGGAAAGAAACCTTGAATGACCAGCCTGAATATCATGGTTATCCTCTGCTATAGTGATACGAGATCTCAATCTTCGCATATTCCTTTCCCTGTTGACCATTGCGTTGGTGATCTCTATTGGGCATTGCCCGACAGGTAAGACACTCTTTTTGCACATAGGGCATAATGAACTGTTATTGCCAAGAAAAGGGTCGATACAATCTGGATGAAATATGTGACCACACGGCAACTCGCGAATCCATGTATTTCCACTTTCAAAGTCATCAAAGCAAACAGGACAAGTAGGTTGGGAGAATACTACAGTTCTTTCTCCCGGATCTGAGATGGAAACTGGTGAATTTCCCAAGTTGGGTACGATAAAAGTTGGTGATAACGCCTTGGATGCAGAGTCATCGCAAAATAAGACCTCATTCGCCTCCGTGGAGACGCTTTTATCGGCATGGATCCCCTCGGCTGTACTTGAACTTCGATGCACCAAAGGGGTCTGTCCAACAAAATGATAAGTAAATATAGGCATCTGATCGATAATCTCTTGTGGAACGGTGAGTCGCTTGATACCCAATGCCTCCAAATTTACCTCCCCGTCTTCCACTCGTCTTGTTAAAGCCCGCCTTCGACTTCTCTGGAGATAATGCATAGAGCCGGAAGTGACTGCGAGCATAAAGGCCAGTACAGCAACAATAATCAACAAAAACTCCCACAAGCTGGGGAGATTTGTGCCATGAGTCACGCGAAGCTGCGTATATACTCGTACATAGTCTCGAGGGTCAATGCCTGGGAACGTGGATAGTTCATGGCCGTTTGGTACGTCTGTAAGATTGCCGGAATATAGACTTATTTCGCGCATCATCCTCTCTCCAACACTTCCAGCAACAGCGTACACCGGATATTTGTTTTTAGACTTCCATGTTCCGCCATCTTCAAGCGCCCACTGATCCGAGCTGATTGGTGGTGGTCGGTTTGTACTATTATCTGGTGGATAGAAGATGAAAGCTCGTATTGGGTCTTGTCGCGCTGCAGCTAAATAGCCTTTTGTACATTCTATGCTGATCCAAGGTGCTAACGCAATCAATGTGAAATCCGTTGCGGGCAGATTGGCTTGTCGAGTAGCATTTGAAGGAACATATTGTTTTGAAATGTTGTAGCATGTGTGTTGATCATCCAGATCTGGCACGTAAAGAAAGCCACCTATTGCACCGCTCGCATCTGCATTATGAGTTGATAATGTTTGTAAATTGTCGGTAATGGTCTCTGCATAAGATATGTTTGGCTATTGACACATTAGATCAATACTTTCTCTAATCGTCCCATAACATACATTCACCTGATTAATGACGCTCGTGAGCTGATCATCTGTGGCCAGGTTATTCCATTCTTCATCCGCGAAAACTAGACTGTAAAACGATTATCAGTAGATGTCTAAGATTTTGTGGTGTGAAGATGCGTGTTGATTGATCGACATAGAGATGAAGAGCGAAGTAGAGAGAGAGGTTGATGATGATGATGATGATGATAGAATGTGGTGTTTCTTGACAGAAAACTCGACATCGTATTCAGTAAAGTGTCTAGAATCGGACAAGAGGAATGAATGCTGTGAAGATTTGTTTGTTTGCACATACACGGAATTATCGACTTCTTTTAAAGCTTTCATTTGTTAGTGAATATATTTAGACACAGAGGATGGCTAAGATACTTGACATCTCGGCGCCAAGCACTCTGGGGAATTTGAAACTTGGCACTAGGTGTATTTCTTACCCATATTTTAAATGGCGCGCAGGATGTTTTTGCGCCGGGCAAAGACCCTTCGGCAAACTGAATGATGGTTATAATTACCATAAAGTGAATTGCAGAACGTGATTCGTGATTCTTGGAATGTTGTTTTCTTAACAATTGTTGAAGGATCTTGAAAGATATATTTTCGTACCCATATTGTTCATATAATGGGATATACCAAGAGAATCGGAGAGTCAGGAAGACTAGGGAGAATACCTAGTATGCATGGGCGGGCTAGCGAAAAAGCTTGATCATCTTTTCGCTCCACGTTTGACACCCACAATTTTTGGCATTGGGGTTTCATGCTCGTTAGAAGGAACTTTCCCCCGATGACAATGTACCGGTATTGCTAATAATTGTTAATGAGAAAGAGAGACGAGATGGGGTGAGATCCGGAGTAAGATTTTGAGAGGACATTTGATTTGATTTGATATGAAATGATGAGAATGATATGTATTACATATTTGTGTCCACCGATGGTCCCAGTATCAAATCTTCACATGGGATATATCGGGTCACTGGGTATGTATGATGAGTACTGCTATGCATGTATCGCATCTAAACTACCGGGTAGGGAGGGAGTGGAGATGACATATTATCACAACTTGTTGCATTCCGTTCTGTACACCGTACTCATCTCACATTGCTCTAGAGAATAAACAGGAAGTGTTACAGTACATATCAATCACATCTCACTGTAACCCAGTCTGCGTGTGCCCATCAAGCATCAAGCATCTAGAATCTAAAAAATAAACAAATTCCAGCACAGTACCACTCTGTTACTCATGTAGCATCTAAAATTCGGAAAACAAAAACATAAATTCCAGTACAGTACGATATATTCTTGTAACTTAGTCCATTACCTATGTATTGATACAACATCTAGACTCTAGAGAAAGAAAAGGAAAAAGAAAGAGAAAAAAGAAAAACAGTAATACGACATCTTGTTGTACTCGATGCATCTCCCTCGTAATTGTAACGTATTGGATGGCTCTGTGCCTCTCGTATTGTCGACGGATTTTCAACATACTTTTTTCAACACCACTGGCGTCTCAAATTTGTATTAATCGGATCAACAGCACGTAATGGCGCCATTCTGACGATCTTTCAGCCAGCCGAATCATGAAGCAAACCGCTATTTAATGAATTTGGGAGATTCTTGAAGCAAAGCTGTAGTTCAACCAATTAAAAATCATGAGGTGTTGTTCCCTGTCCATCACGTACTGATAGACGGCCGGAATAACTATTGACCTAGCCTTATCTCCAACAGGCTAGCTCCACTGTAATTCAACTAAGGAAGCATTACGACCTAGGTACCAGACTTCACATCAGACAAGAAAGTAAACAACATTCATAGCGTTTGATATTTGTCCATAATTTTGATATCCAATACTTATCGATTCTTACTTTATAGATTAGTTGTAGCAGCTCGAACGAATGTCAAGACCCTACCGGAATTCAACAAACTAACACAATAGATGCACAATCCGGTCAGATCCTAGAGTCTCCTCCAGGTCCATTTCTACATACATCTCATACATTTGCGCCTATCTTTAAAATGCCTCCCATGGCAAGTCAAAAAGGAACGGGAAAGAAGGGTCGAGATCCCCGCCAATCCCGAAGTCGAAACACAACACCAAGTCTAGTGGGTACCACGAGCTCAGTCGCGCCTTCTGATGCCGGAAAAACTCCCTACACACAAATACCAATTAGTATTCTTAGAACTTCCGTAGCAGATGAGATTGTCGACCAGCATGCTTCCGCAATTCCCAATTCGAGAGAGCTCGAGGCGCTTATGCAACGTATGGAGAGGCTAGCTGCAAGCATAGATGAACGTGCTGCGGTATGCGACAAGGGGATGCGAGTTCTGGCACAATCAAGAAAGGATCGGAACGAAGAACTGGAAATTGAAAAGCGAGACGAAGAATTGAAAGAAAGAATGAGGAGAGACCAGGCGGATGAAGATGAGCGTGGGAGACATAAGGCTCACAAAATCAAAAAGAGAAAGGATGTCAGTAGTGCTAGAGAAGAGCGGCCATTGACACATGGTGCCCATGGTTTGGCACCACAAGATGGATCCAATATTGGTAAGTCACCTTTCGATACGGTATAAACACCAGTATAGTATTGACTTTCAGCTTTACTTCAAACCGCACCTCGCTAATTCAATTCACTTGCAGAAGTCGCCGTTCCAAGCCGTGACTATACACACAAAAATCACAGAAAAGTATCAAAAGAACGAGACAATGATTCAATAAGCTCGTCACTTTCACCACCTGCTCCTGCAACGCCCACCGCAGGCATGAACACGGATACGAAACCAAATGGCACTGCCGAAGAAGAATCCAGCTCCGATGAGCATCAACCTCCTCCAGCACCCAAAATTGCCAATTACCAGACATTTGGAGCGGACCCATCTACGTTTCCCGATCCAACGGTCTACGAAATTACAAAAATAAAACCTGGTGATCCCAGGATGAGCGAAGAAGAAAAGAAGAAGGTTTATGCTGTAGCAGCCTACCCGAGGAATGATCTTCATGATCTTATCCCTGGAACACCACCCGACAAAGATTTCAGCAACGCGAAACCCACAAACCAAGTACAAGCTAATACTTTTGCGACATATTTGGAGCCATACTTTCGACCATTCACAGAAGAAGATCTCGCCTTTTTACGTGAACGTGGTGATCGTGTGAATCCTTTCATAATTCCTAGACGCGGAAAGAAGCACTATACCGAAGTCTGGGCTGAGGAAGATGGCGCCATGTCAGTGGATACACCAAATCAAGGGCGAGATAAATTACCTCCAAATCAAGCCCGTGGAAGTATTGATGAGATCGATGATGCCATAGCGGAAACGGATCAAATTTCTGCTGGCCCAATGTTATCGAGATTATTGGCAACGTTAAGACCGGAAAATAGAGCGGCTCCTTCCGAAGATAAGCCTTTGACGAACGGTGTGAGCAATGGCGAAGGTAGTTTCAATGGTGAAATAAACGGCGACATGGGGGAACCAAGTCAGCAAAGCGACATATCTCCATTGCCTCCTGCAACTTTTATGGCCGAATCAGCATCGGAATCATGGAAGAAAGCAACTCACCCAAAGCTTGATCATGCGCAAATAGACGAAAGGATTAAACAAGAGCTTCGACATATTGGATTTCTACCCCCTGATGCCGAGCCCGACTACGATGCTCATTATGATGATGAGATAGCTGCCCGTCTGCGTTTCCTCCAAGCTAAATTAAAGGAACAATCGATCATTAACGGTGCACGTAAGGCTCGATTACAGGAAATCACGAAGGAGCGCATGGCTCATCAAGAATACCAAACTATCCTTGAAGATCTTGACGGTCAAGTAAATGCGGCCTATACCAAACGATCCCGCACAATCGGAAAAACTAAAAAGAATAAGAAAGCTGGCGGTGCTGGCGGTGGCAATCAAGCTGTCAATGGTGCTGCTGGGACAGCAAGACCAGGTCTCGGTGATATGACCAAATCATTGATGGAAAAACGTCAGAAGTGGATCAAAAACATTGGGGCAGTGTTTGATGATGAACGGAATTTGGGCAAAGTACCTCGTGCAAAGGATGAGGGTAGCTCAATCTTCAAGCCTGAAATCATGAGCGAATTCATTCGGAGAGAAAAGGATGGGTGGGATGATGATGGAGAAGAAGAATAATCTTGTATTATACACTTAACTTTAAGAATGGGTCATATTGATACGGGACTTGAGGGATTTTTCAGCTACGTTGTTGGCTTAGCAGGCAGCTTTGGAGTTCACGGACAGGGAGGTTGCATTAGTATTGCAGATATAGCGTATGGCTTTTATGAATGAATGGATTGCTTTGACTTCATGGTATACAGAGAGTCGTTCATTATTCTGGACGAGTTGTTTGTGTTGGGAGAATTAATGGGTTGGCAAAAATAGCCTGCTCATTCTTTGTAAGTGAAATAAAGTGACTTCGAGTAGTACACGAGAGTCTTGGAGATAATTTGTGAGAGTTACACAAATTATCTAATTCATATGCAGTTCATTCTTAAATGTTGTTTATTATGACGGCTCCAGATGGGTAGATGCGTTGCATATTCCTTTTGCCCGTAGTTCTTTGCTTAGAGGGTAGCACAATAATCGAATTTGTTTTGGAGAATGCATGTCGATGGGCTACCGTGTTTGACATTGGCGTTTGGATTGTCGGGGAGAGTCTTTGTGACTTTGAAGTATGATTCAAATATCTATATCGAGTAGGGAGACATGCTCGAGGAGGTATATAGTATTGATCGAAGCTTTCGTCATGATCAAGAAGCTGCAGAAGTATGCTTTTTAATTCGATTACAAGTTGAATAAGTACATTCACTTGAAACTTGCTGGTCGAGAGAAGCGATATACAATCTACGTTCCCGTCCGTGATACTCATGACCATTATCGTCATTTTCCTTATTTCACTCCGAAAATGAATGTTCTATTCCAAAATACAGATAAGAGTATTAGATCAGCCAAAATAAGAGGGAGTGTTGGTCGAGGTTTCCAGAAGAGGCAACGTGCCTACCACTTTCAAGAAGCGAGAAAAAAGTATAAGTAAACAAACACCCACAACTCACCTTTTCAACAACAACCAACGATCTCAATCATGTCGTCTCCTTTTAAAACTTCCCCAATACGTCTCAAGTCTCCCCGAGATAACTTGGGTTCCTCAATGATGGAATCAGCTTACAAAACACAGCAAGATTTGATGGCCAGAAAAGCAAGGGAAAATGGAATTCCAACCTCTGAAATCAAAAAACGATTTCAGGCAACATTAAGCCAAATTTATCAGGAAAATCCGCAATGTACTGAGGCTTGGGCATTGGGAAAAGCAGAATGTCATGTTGTATGTAAACCCCCATTTATCTCTTTTGTCTTGCATGAGTTCGTCACGTCGGCATTAAGATACTGACAGCGCGCTCTAGTGGACTCAGTTCTGTGAGTTTCAATATTTCACTTCATTCATATAAACATTTTGTGGTTTGGCTGGGTAGTTAAAAAGTCACTTCTAATCTGATTGTAGTTCCAAACGATCCATGGCCAGGTATCCTTCCCAGTACATCACAATCACCCTTCAGTAATGAGATAATGCGCTCCGAGTCCGGCGAGATTACGAGTTCGCCGGAGAAGGGCTCGTTGAGTTTCCCAAGCAGACCGAAGCCTAACTTTTCAATCAAGATCGAAGATGTACTTCTTAATACAGCTGGCAATCCAAATGTACTGGCGGTATACCGAGAAGCATTACTAAACATGAAGGAAAGATATCCACGAGAAAGCTTGGAGTGGCAACAGTGGATGGCAGGAAGTAAAGTTTGGGTGTCTAATTGTATACCTTTACCAGAGAAATTGGGTTCAGGTGTATCCTTGCTAACTTATCTTTAGTTCGTCAAAAGGGTACCTTTCCCTGCGACGAGCCACCCAGATCATACATTCTCCGATCTTCAGATGCCAATCGCCTCAACACTGTAGGTTCTCGCCGTAGTGGTGAGGATAAGTCTAGAAGCGGGGCGATTTGGTAGTAGCTGGCAAGCCGAAGAGGCGACTAGTCGACGTAGATCTAGGTCGCCTCCGATTGAACAGATGGGAAGAGACAGATATAGACCAAACAGGTCCGAAGGAACCACAAGACAAGGTAGGACAATCAAACCCGAAGAGTCGCTACGAAATCTCAAAGCAGTGAGAGTTGGAGAAGCAAAGAAAGACAGTGGAAATGTAATGAGGGCTAGAGAGGATGATCCATTGACTTACGGACCAAAAGAGAATGAAATGCAAAAGAAAGCATACATTATGGGTGGTGTTGAGTTCCGACATGTTTTCTTTCGTGCTTTGCAAACTAGTAGAGATTTTGTAAGAGCGCGCCATCCTTACTGCGACCGTTCTCAAAAACATGTAAGTCTTAGGCGTTTCCTTATTTCAAATACCCAAATCTCCTTAATTGTCCAATTTTCATCGTATCATTTACGGTTTGGTACTAACTTCACTTAGTGGCTTGCCGATCGAATGGCATGGGAGACTGTTTTCAAAAACGAGCCATTTCCCTGGTTAAACAACAAGCCAGCAGGAATTCCTTCATCGGCGAGTTTACCACCAATTCACAAAACATCAAGAGAGATTACTGGCAATTACTCCATGGCTCCCCCACCGGCTCAAATAGTCTCCAATGTTGCCAATACCAGTCATCATCCGGTATACAGTATATCAGGTAGCAGATCGACCCAGTCGAGACCTTCCTCTGCTTATAACGCAAACGCGTCTGTCGGAACAGATATATCTGGTGGTGCAACTCCTTTTGAATCAAGTCCTGAGATGCCAAGAAAGCTCTCAGCGGCACTACTGAACAAAGGAGTGATGAACACTATTGGTGAGGAGTCCTCGGAAAATAATGGAACAGATCTTGTCGAAGGTAGGAGAGAAGTGGCTATCAGAAAGAACACACTTTTCCGTGCCCTTCTAGGAGATTGGGACGATTCTTTCAAATCCGTTCAAAGAGGTCTTGGGGTTACAATAGATTGTGGGTGCTTCTTCTCCTTCCAACTGTTTTCTTAGCTTAGGACTCACAATTCTAGATCATGACGATGCCTCTGGACACTTCAAGCTCACTATCGAGCCATATCAGCCTGGGGATAACGTAGCGCTCGAAAGAGCGCACAAGTTCCTCGAGATCTGGAAGAGGTTGATATACTCTGATCAGCTAATCAAACTTGAATATTTCTGGGCTCAGTATAAGAATCATGACAAGGCAACTGCAGTAAGTAGCAAAACACAACTGTTTGATTCGTCCTCCTAACGAGTCAATCTTCCTTTCACTCAAGAAATCACTTTCTCATTCTTTCAGGTCAATCGGAAGCCTATGATACATGTCAATGGCAAGAAGATTCTTTGTCAAGGAAAGTTCGGTGACCTCTGTGGTTTCTTCTCACAGGAGATTCAGGAATATCAATCCAATATGGCTGAATATGCCGAGACTGAAAATGGCACTTGCCTGCAGTACCCTATTTGAGGTCAGGCCATATGACATTTATCTCAGCAGTTACCCACTGCCGGTACTGCTTGATGTTGATACTAAGGCAAGAAATAAGATGCTTGATGACCATGATGCCTTTCTCGAAGAGTGGGTTCGAAGCTCTTTCCAAAATCGAATAAGCTTATCGGACATGAGCCACGAATATGCACGAAGGAGCGACCAGAAGCGTATGGAACTAGATATGGATTTGGATGAGCTTCTTAAAGAAGGAGCAGCAAAGGCGGAAAAATCACACGTCAAGATTGTAGAGGTAGTGATTTTTAGGAGGTCTTATATTTGCTCTTTGTTTGGTATGAATAGTAGCTAGCCGTATACGTATTTTGCAATGATCGTAGATTCTTCGAATCAATACCATAGTACCATGCATTCTCGACTGCTTACCAAAACATGTCAATTGCCAGTTCCACCAGTTCTCTTCTATTCTCTTGCGGGACAAAAGAAAAGATACGTTCATTTGGACAAGTGGTGTACTGCAGGGTAGAATCACGTGGTAGCCTGTCTTAGCGTGCCTTTTGTCGCGTTTAGGTTACCTAACAGTATCGTCCATTTGTTCTTCTCCAATTCAAACTTTGTAACATCTCTGAGGAGTTCGATCAAATTATCTCAACATGGGATATTCCATCTGTACCTGAAAGTGCGGGAACAGATCCTTCAAAATGTCAACATTTGGCGGGTACATGCCAGAATTCCCTGACATTCGTGGTAAGTAATAAATATCTTTCATTCAGAAAATGAAACGTTTTGGTGGATCAAATATTCAGCGGATTGTTTTAGTAAGCTTAGGACTGACATTGTCCTAGTCGATCATTTTCGTCAAATCATAGGTCGAACTGCTCCCCTAGCATGCTTCTTAAGCCATGTTCACAGCGACCATCTTGAGGGACTTGATAATGATCGCATTAAACTGCCATTTATTTACTGCTCAGCAGCTACCAGAGAAATTCTGTTGAGACTCGAAAAAAGAAGAGACCGCTTGAACTTGGCGTAGGGTATTTTAGAAAAGGAGAAGAGAACTTATAAACATTTGAAAAGTGTTTTAAAACCGATTCCACTGGAAACTCCAACATTAATTGAGTTGGCGCCAAAAAATGAAGTCAGGGCCACATTGTTCGATGCTAATCATTGCACCGGGGCAGTGATGTTCTTGTTTGAAAAGCAGAACACTGCAATCTTGTATACTGGTGATATCAGATCAGAACCATGGTTCGTCAATAATTTGACACGAAGTCCATTCTTGATCGAGTACACAAGCGGCATGAAGACTTTAGATTGTATTTATCTCGATACAAGCAACACTGGACCATTAGCATTCCCCACAAAGGCTGATGGGTTGAAGGAAATGATTGAGAAAGTCAGAAAGTATCCACCAAATACCAAGTTCCACTTTTCGGCCTGGACGTTCGGATATGAAGAGGTATGGGCAGCGCTATCACGAACACTTGACTCGCAGATTCATGTGGACAAATACAAGTACAAGTTATACCAATCGCTACGTCAAGAAGGGTCGGATGGTCAATCACGATTCTTGGCACCTGAGGGTCCTGTGCTGGTCGGGTGTATTGTTGGAAATGGCCCAAAAGAAGGTTGTTTGACTACCGATAAAAGCGTACGAATCCACAGCTGTGAGAAGGGAATGGGCTGTTCGGCTTATGGTGAGGATGACATTGTGTTAATACGCCCATTCATTGCTCATGGACCAGATGGAGTGGAGATAGCAGAAGTTGGTATCGGAGGTGGCTGGGGTGATCTAGTACCAAGTTATGAAGTGGCCATGGATTTCGATGATGTCAAGGGATTCCTAGAGACAGTGTAAGTTTACCCTTTTTTTTGGATGGATTTGTACTAACATTTTAATGAGTTTTGCCGAGACAGATCAACCCATGATTGAAGACATTCGACGTATGCTTCTTGCAGAACTAGCATCTACGAAAGGGGCCATATCATTAGATGGTATGCAATTTGGTAGTGATCAAATCTCTTTAAAGGGACTTGGTGAATCTTTGCTTCGAAAGTTGGCACAGAAATCTACTGTAATCCCCGACAAGAAGAGAGACGCTATTCCTGAAAAAGGTCTCCCCAAGGTAATCAAATTTCCATACTCACGTCACTCGTCATATGCCGAACTTTGTCATCTTGTTGAAATATTCAAACCAAAAGATGTGTATCCATGTACTGTAGATGAAGAAGAATGGCATGAAGGTACGTAACCATCCCTCCCATCCTCCCCCTTTTGTTGTGTAACTATATACCCTCATACCACTTGAACACTTACCAATTTCTTGAAGACTGACTCTTTAAAGGATTAAGCATGAAAACTCTCTTTGGCGATCATTGCTCTGCTTCAATTTTTCGACATGATGGTGAAATGCGAGAACTGGCTGCTATTCGTGTTGCCGAAATGGCCATGATTTCAAGCCAACGAACGCAAACAACAACTGCTTCCAAATCTTCTCCAATGTCGACAGGCCATTTTAAGGAACTCACTGTAGCAGCAGCCAGATTGGATAACGAAAGTGGCCCTTCCACGCCAACTCCATTCCAAAAAGGGACAACTAGAATTGATCGACAATCAATGTCTAACTGGTCGCAAGAGCTGGTATCCTCATCTCCAGTTTCATTATCTCAAATAGGTGTAATGAGCATCAGTCAGACACCAAGATTAGTTGCTACAAGTTCAGACTCGAGTTCAAGCCGTCAAGCGTCGCAGCGAAGAGTGGCCGCGGATATGATTAGTCCACCACCCTTGAAACGCGTTCGGCTCAGCGAGGATTCTCAAATGGGTGATTCAACGTAAGGTTCTCCGGGATGTTCCCTATTTCCCTCTTTGTGGGATGCTATTCTGCTTCTTCATCACTTTTCATTGCAGTTTCGCTTCAGGCTTCTTGATGAGTAAACGCTGACTCTCTTGTTCCAGATCTTCGAAATCACCTACCCCTTCAAAATTTGTCACGGACTTGGAACAACAGAGCATAGAGTCCTCCGCTGAGATCAGTGGCGACAATGTTGACTTGACAGTCCCACTCAAAATATTGATGGGGAAACTTGGTAATGTACCTGAACTCTTTGAGCAAACGCGGAAAGCATTATTGGATCTCAATATCGATGAGCTAGATGTTGAGGCATACATCGCCCAGGAATTACCGACCATTAATTCCATCTATAAACGAATTTGCCAGCTCATACCACCACCCATTCTGTCGGCGCTTTATGATAATATGCAATCACTTTCTCACAAAGTCGTCGCAAATTTTGTGGAATTGCGTAATCAGGTAGGCTTGCATGTATACCTAGAGATGGAGGTGGGGATGTATGTGCGTCGCCAGTTACTACCACTGCAATACCTCACTGAAGAGCTCAAACATATCAAGTCATATTTGGAACAATCCCCAAGTCAGCGTAAGCCCTGGAAATCTAACGTGAGTCTGGAAAGCATGTCAGAAGTATTCACACTTGAAGTCAATAGCAACGCAGATACCGTCGATCATCAAGAAATCTCCACACCCACGGACGAGAACGGTCTAGCAGCAGATGGCACCATGGAGAATTGTGAAGATAGTTCTTCCGCACCGGTAGAGATAGAGGATCTTTACGAATATGAGAATGTCCCCTTCTATGACCCAATCGATAAGATCATTCGATGTGGAGATTGTGATCATGAGATTTGGGAGGACGCAGCTGGAAGGTTAGATGTGACGCTCGGATTTTGCACTCGCTGCGGCAATGGGATTAGCCCCTTTTATGAGGATGCTGATTTTCCTGGGAACATCCCTCGCATCTACGAAGACGAATATGGAAGTGAGGCTGACGAAGAGAGAGCCCGAGTATTGATTGGAGATACACATCTCGATTATCAATCCTCAGCTTACGATACCCAAGACGAGGATTCCGAACTTGTTGCGAATGAAGATTATGAAGTTGATAGCTTTATTGATAACTCCGAAGTGCTAGAAATAGATTCAGAGTCTGAGATCTCTGATAGTGAGAGTGAGGGAGAGATAGATTATAAAGCCGAGTTCAAAAAACTGCAAGCGAACTTTGACCTATTGATGAATGGTTATTGCGAGTTGGCGGATGAGTTTGCAGAGTTTAGGCATGATATGCTTGGTGCGAGTGAAGCAGAAGATGATGGGGATGGGGGGGGGTAATGATGAGGAAGAGGGGAGTGAGAAGAAATGAAGTAGGGGCACATGTGGTGGATGTGGTGGTGAAGCAGGGGGAGCTTGTGGTGGAGGATGTACTCGTTTCGTCGTCCAGAAGTGTTGGTGGGGAGGAGGGAGAGAGAGATATGGGCGGTGATGAATTTAGAGATGAAGAATTTGAGGAAGATGATGACTCGATTGTTGATATTCCAAACGAGGTTTTCTGATCCGAGAGGACAAAGTATGGAATCGTGAGGGTCAATACAGTTGGGATTGGCTGGATGGCTGGCTGGTGTTAGGAGAGAGAAGGGGTCGGTTATTTGCTTCTTACGATAAATTTTGATACCCGGAATTTGCTCTTTGCATTGGTGTTTGCTGGGAAAGGATGACGGTGGGATTTAAGGTGTTTTAGAGGGAAAATGGTATAGGTATTGCTATGGGTATGAGGTTCTTCATAGTAAATTGTCTGATTTAACACCCACGGATATGGATGGGAAGAAATTGCTTTAGCATTCATGTTGCTATCTATTTGTTATGATATTATGAAGGATCAAGGGGGAAATATTTCTCTATAGCTCGATAGCTAGTTTATGGTTTTATTAATACTACCATACATTCGCATTGCAATTTATAGTCACGTTCAGATTCACACCTAGCATAATTATATGTTAGCTCCAATAAATAATAAACTAGTATTTACTTCTTGTTTTCTTAGGGGTATTTGTATGTACACAATACTATATATACTGTATACATACTTAAATTCCAGTCTTCAGTCTTTAGCACAGTATATCAGTATTTGTTTGTTTGTTTGTTTGTTTGTGCATCTGTTGACCCCTCATTTTACTCCCTTCAATTCTCAGCTCCCCTCTCCCCTTGCCCCTCTTCCTTTCCCTTCCCTTCCCCACACCTCCCCTCCACCTCATCCTAGCTCATCTCATCTCAGCTGGTAAAGGATTACAATTATGAAATATCACATGTTTTCGTCACAACTTTCCAAATCGGCAATGCAATGCCCTGCAATGCCATGGCACTCAACATGGAGTGAACACATGGAAATCAGAAATCACGAGATGTGGGTGTGTGTGGGCTGTGGGGTGTGAATGATTGGATTGGAGAAGATGTTAGAGAAGTTCCAGCTCTGCTGGGCTGGTGGGTGGGTTGGGAATGGGAGGGGTAGGTGGGTACGAATCATTAGTATCTATACCGTGTTTAACATTACTCTGTACGGAGTATATGATTACTGGTTATACTCCGTAGATAATCATAAGCTAGATAGATGAACAGTCGGAGAAGGAAGGAGTGGTAGATACTCGCTACTCTGGAGTGATGGTGTATGTTTTGCTTTGCTTGCTTTGGGAGTGATGGGAATGAGGGGTGGGAGTGGTAATTGGGTTGTTGGGGTTGATTTTTATATTTTTATAGATTAATAGTTACCTACTACTCGGCGAAATAACTAAAGATATATAAGGTTAGTATAAACAAAAAACATTTATAACTTCAATATTTTTCAATAAAATAAACTAGAATTGATATATATAATTGATTAATATAATAATTCTATTATATAAAAGTTCTCAAGAAATAGTTACTTGTCTGGCTCGTCTCGGTTACTTACAATGTGATGATGAAGAAAAAAAGAAGGCATGATATGATATGACATGAAGTACGGGAAGATTAATTATCCTTCTCGAGTACATATTGTTAGCTAGGAAGTACACAAGTAAGCAATCCGATTTGGTAGGGCGGGATAGGGCAGACAGGGCTCGATCGTGAAAGATCGAGTGATTGGATCTTATGACTTGCATTTTTAATTTTTAATTTTGGTTTGGGTGGGTAGGGCTGGATCGTGGTTGATTGATTGATTGATTGATTGATGGGGAGATGGCGTGGGTAGGGATTATTTACAGAGGAGGGGACTTTTTTCGTGGGTGGGTGTGGGTGTGGATGGCATTGGTGATGGGAGAGTGAAGATGGGAGAATGAAGATGTGATAGGTATGGGGAAGAGAAACAATGTTTGGTGGTATGACTATAGGATAGGAGGATAGGAAGATAGATAGGTCTTGTTTGCTTGCTTCTTCAAGGCGATAGGAAGATAGATAGGGTTGGAAGACGTGGTCAAATGGGTTATATCAATATTACTGGGACTAGTCATTTGGGTGTAAAGAGACCTACTTTTGGTAACCGATTTCCCTACTACATACACGACCCTACTATATACACACTTTTTTTTTATATCAAAATAAAAATCAATTTAAAATTTAAAAATCATTATAATAATATAAAATTCAATTCTATAATTAATTAATATTATTAATTTAAATTTATAAGGATTTCAAATTATTAAATTAAGAATTGATTGAATAATTAAATAAAGAGAATATAGAATTTTGATATATAATTTCTTAATAAATAATATATTATAATCTATTTTTAAAATTATAATAGATTTTTATAGATTTTTTGATATCAATAATATTATGAAAAAATCAAAAAAATCAAAAAAGTAAAAAGAATTAAATTTAATATAGATTATTAGATTTTTTAAATTATTTATAATTATTTTGAGAAAGTTGAAAATATATTTTAAAATGAATTTAAATTTTATATCTAATATTGAAGATTTAAAAATTATATTTTTGGAAAAGGAATTACATTAGATATTAAAATATATAAATTTTTAATTTATTAAAAGAAATTATTTAAAAAATCTTTTATTTTTAAAATTTTATTTTTAAAATTATTTTAATTTTAATTTTATTATATATAATGAGAATTTAATTATATAACTTTTATTTTAAAATAAATTCTTTAGAAATAAGTTTTTTTGTAATTTGAAATATTATTAATTTATTTTTTAAAACAATTTTTTCAAATAAAAGTTGAATTAATGTTAATTAATAATCAAATTTTCAAAATTTAAATTTTTTATTAAATTAAGATTTAATCGATATAGTTTTATTCTTTAATAATTGATTAAAATCTTTATAATAAGAATATTTAAAATTAAAATTTCTTAAAGAAACTAATAAATATTTATATTATATTTATTATTAAATTAAATCAAATTATTAATCATATTTATAAATCTCTATTTAGATATAATATTAATGAATTATAGATTTTAGTATATTTGTATTTTTTTAAAGATTATTAATATTATATAATTTAAAAATGAAATAAAATATTATAAATTTATTATTTTACTAATAATTAATCTTTAAAATATTTTCTACACAAAATATTAGAATTTAATATCAATATAATTTCATATTTTCAATAAAAGCTTTAGTTTTTTTTTTCAAATATTTTATATTATAATATATATAGTTTTATAATTTCATTAAATAAAACTCATATTTTTAATTATATTATAAAATATATTAATAAATAAATATTTTTTTCTATAAAAATTTGATGTCTTATTTATTATTATTATTACTATAATTTTTGAGATTTTTAAATTTTTTATTTCAAAATATTAAACTAATTTATTTCAATTATTTCAAATTTGAATTTCAAATTATAATATTGCTTTTTCAATTTTTAATTCAATTTAATTCAATATTTTACATAAATAACAAAAACGTGCATATAGTAGGGTCGTGCATATAGTAGGGAAATCGATTACTATAGTTCTGTTGATTTTAGGAATTTCGTCAAGGTAGATAGCTCGAGGATAGGTAGCAGATGAGAGTGGAACAATGACCACGTCAATGAACACGACAACCATAATATCGAGGATACTCCAACATCGCACTTTGCATGTCCAGAAAGATGGAAAGACAAACAAAGATTGGCTGAGTGGAGTGGTGAGTGCTGTGAAGAGGTTGCGAAAGCGGTCGGATCCAATGTAACTGATGAGAATGAATACCTATCATGGTACTTTGACCGATTTGGAGACCTTTGGGTTGCCCTGGTCGTGATGGGTTCTTGAAGCATCTTTTGCGGTTGTATGGATGGAGAGCTGGATGAAGGGATGGGTTGGTCATGAATTATATATTGTTGAATGCAACGATGCGATGCGGTGAGATGGTTGATGGGAAGATGATCTGTATGTGATGTATGCATTATGAGCGATGGAAGAGATCGTGGATGAGAAGATTGCCAGGACAGGGAGTGATAACATGGATTTTGTAAACTCTTCTTCTTGTGATGGTGCATCTATTGGAGGTGAATGCATGATAAGAAGAAGAAGAAGAAGAAGAAGAAGAATAAACAAGCTATCGACCGTATACTTAGCTAGAGGTGTACTGAATGTATGCGAGAACCCATTCCATTCCCGAGTCAGATCTATATCGCCTACTTGCATATACTAGGTACTTACCACCTATTTATACTCTGTCCGTATTTATCTATAGAGTACGAAGTATATCTGCATATTTACCAGATTCACAACAGATATATATACCAACTCTGTTGTACTTTATTGTTGTTGTTGTCGTCGTGGTTGTTTTACCTCTCTTCTCAACAACATCATCAGCATCATCATCAGCAGCATCATCACCACCAGCATCATCACCACCAGCATCATCACCACCAGCATCATCACCATCATCACCACCATCACCACCATCATCACCACCCAGCCCCCAATTTTCTCCATTCTCGGTTTCTCTTCCAATCAAGCCATCCATTCCAATCTATTTGATCGACCTTCCTTACCGCAACTCCCACTGCATTGTAACTCCGGTGTGGGGGGGTTGGTTTAACGTTAAAGGAAAATTAAACCTTCCCAGCAGATTCCAAGCATTTCTCGGAACATTGGGATTTCTGAGAATAGAAAATTCAATATCGACGAGGATTATATTGCTTGGGTACGGTAATAGTATATTGATTGATCTTGTTTCGATAGATTAATCAAGAGAGGGCTGCATATTGATTAGTATTGACTGACTGGGAACGAAAAGAAGTTGGTGTTATCGACAGTGACATAGATTCTCATCTATATATACCTTATCCAAGGGTCAACAATTTATATCTTCAGGTTGAGGGAGACAAGGTGGAATTCTAGGACCCGACTCTTATTCCAATTCAGACTCAACCTCAATCTTCGCTCAATCTCAACTTCAACTTCTCGTGTGATTGACCCAAAAACCCAAGGAGAATCGATTGAAAAACACAACAACAAGTGAATGGAAGGAAAGGACAGAAAGGGGTTGAAGAAAGATCTAATCATTCCCATCTTCTACATACATCACGAATCATTATCGACGACTTGGACGACTTAGTACCCATCTCGCATCGATTTGATTTACAGCAATCCTAAAAGGAATTCACGAAACAATCGACTTTCAAACAAATTGTCTCAGATCCGAATCATCTACTTGTTACCTCTCATTGATTAACTTGACACTGTACATAATACATGTTACACACTACATACTTACTACTACATACTTCTGGCGACGACTCTTTTTTCTTCCACTTACCTTCTACTCTACTCGGTATCCCAAACCAAGCAAACCCAACCACATACGAAGAGGAGTTCCACGGCTATTCTCTAATTCGACATCTGATCTGGGTTTGGGTTGTCATCTAAATTTTGGACAATACGATAGGATACGAAGACTTCACAAGTACAAAGTAAGTGAAGAAAGAAAGGAATTATTGACCGACCCACGGTTATAGACAACGATCTAATCCATTTCTCACTATCAAATGATCCAATTATTACTTCATTACTCAAGCATCCAAGCACCACATCATTCATCCAATCCCCTTCCCCCCCAAAAGAAAGCTAACCAGCTCATCATAGAAGATTTTATCAACACAACACCCAACACAACACCCATACAAGTGAAGTGGTACAACGCAACCCGAACCCTTACCCTTACCCTCTTCTACACACCTACCACTACATACCTCTCACCTCTCACCTCTCTTACCTTTACCTTTACCTTTATTTTTACTTTGACCACAACACCACGCTTCTTTCCTCCCTCTCCACTTCAACTTAAACTCCACCGCCAGTCCGACCTTTTTTTGTCCTTCTTCTTCATCATCTCATCATCGCCTCTTTAATTCCTATTTATTTCACATTCTCACTCATTCCTTCAATATTCAGCTTGGAAGTCGTCCTAAGAAAGACAAGAAAAGAAACCGTAAAAAGACACACCATCTTTCTTTCCTCTTGAAACGAATTCGTCAACGCAACTCAACTTTCTCAACTTTTTCAACTTTCATCTACGACGTTTACTTTTTCCCTTCTACCTAATAGATATCTTTGAGTTGTACGACTTCCAGTGGCAATCAAAAAATCAATTAGATATTGTGATACGATACTTCTTGTGTCTGAAATCCATCCAGTCTTTGTACAATCATCACATCATCAACATCGCCAAGTTACAAATTCCTACCAGGAATTCGTGAATCATTACACATTGGATACTATACGACAACGACAATTGGCCCGAATTTTCCACCCACTCTAGATCAGGAGAACTTTCGGATTCACCTAATACCAATACCACTCCGCTATTACTCATAAGTTTTACTTTTTCCAATTCAACATTCCAAGTCTGTCAAAATCATCGGATTACACAAACTTTGGAAGAAAGAACCTCCGTTCCCTTAGTGCCCAATCATCCTTCAAAGGATCGTCCCGGGGTATCTAAAGTTTTGATAATCACGAACCTCATATCAGCTCGGACACCGCCACGGTCAATAGTTAAGGCCTCCCTCGCTGTACAATCCAGTCTTACTTTTGACGTACAATTCGCCTCCTCAGCCATCATGAAAGGCCGTCCTGTCGACCAGCTCGTGTACGAGTGTATGTTTCCTAAACCCAAGACTGGCGATCCGCAAAGCTTCCAAGCCTTCTTGCAGCGCAGTCTGGTGCCTGAAGTTCGTCACGAAACTCAAGCTTTTTATGGTCACTTAACTTCGCAGGAAGCAAAGTATCCTGGCTTGGATTACTCTTACCGGCCGCATCGCGTTCGACTCTCGAGATTCCCGTGGCACAGACGACTATTTCGAGCTTTCGATAATTTGAGACTTACGGAATACGAAATTGCTACGTTGACAAAATGGGAAGGCACAAGATGGGCAAAGGAGAGATTTGAGAAGGAAAAAGGAATTATTATTAGGGATACAACGGGTGATGGAATAGAGGATTGGGTATCACCGGAGTTACGACCCACAGTTGTGCGATCCGCAGTACCAGCAGAAGAAGAAGAGTTGGAGGAGGAAGAAGAAGATTTGGATGATAATGACTTGGAAGATGATGATGCAGATAGTGATATCGAAATCACAAGTGTGGGAACTGCATTGAATGAGAGACTGATAGCAGCAGCGGCTGAAAGAGAAGCTGGCAATTTCATGGCACCCATGGATGAAGCTTGGGAACAATGGATGAAGGAAGCTTACGAGACGGTTGGTGTCGATATGTCGAATTCAAATTCGAATGTAAATTCCAATCCAGATTTGAATCCGAATGCCAATATCGTTGGTACGAGACCAGCTCCTAATGGATCAAGAGTTTATGTTGCACATCCATCAGCTCAGCCTGCGAGTCATGCGAGCCATGCGGGAACAACGAATCTAACACCCTTTTTCGACTCATCAAATGGTCGACAAATCCCTTCGAGATATATTGATATTGGACGTATTGACTCATCGAATATGTCTTTTTCAAGAATGCACGCTGAGGGTGATAGTTCAAGGGAACCTATCGAACAGACAATCATGAGAAGAAGAGATTTTGAACAAGCAGTCATGAGAAGAGCTGATGCTAGTAGAGAACATCGTTATCTATATGCAACAAGACATCCGGATGTTTTGAGAAGTATTCATGGAAATCGTCATGTTCCTGAACACGAAGATTATTCTTCGTAATGATATGAGGTTTATTTATCTCTTGATTTTCTCCCGGGTTAGGAATCATTCATAGCAACTCAAGGTTAGGGGGCATACATCAAACACATATTTTCTTTTGTAGGAAGCATTCTCACACTTATACATCCATTCATATCGGCGTTCATATGGAATGGAATCACATATCTTCATGTCATTTTTCAATGGGGTCTTCACTTAAGCATTGGCGTTTTTAGCATATGGGGTGGTGGGGAGGCGGGTAGGATATGGTTGGGGATTGGGGATTGGGGATTGCGGGGGTATTAAGGTGCTTTGGCATCTGTTTACTTCTCTTTATATTAGTTTATTATTGTTGTTTGGTTTGGTTGGTGGTGCATAGGATGGATGGATGGATAAGTGGGTGGGATGGATGGGTTTGAATGGATTGGAAGGGAAGGGGAGAGGGGGAGGAGGAATGGAGGAATGGGGGAAATAGGAAGAATGGTATATCTACCTAGCTTTTATAGTACTAGTATTCAATATACAAAGTTACCTATATCTATTTATCGTGATTCTGATTCTTGATCTGCTTTTTATCTCTTTCTTTGGCTTGAATTGTGTGAAGTGGGGTGAAGTGAGGGGAGGTGGAGTTGAGAATAATGTGGATGTGAAAGAGATAGAATAGAGAATTCAGATGAATAACGAACAGACAAACAACAGACAGACAGACAGACAGACACAGATTAGTATTCCATTCATTTATCACACTCTACTGAAATAATATGATATGATATGATATGATATCAAGCTCATGATGCAGAACAAGAAACAAAACGAAAATGAGTTTGAGTTGATACTTTTTTTTTCTTTTTCAACCATGATTTTTATGATTTTGAGCAGCTGGGAAGAATGAAGAATGAGATGAGAGCTGAATGGAATGAATTCATTAGTTATGGAAATTTGAAATGAGTTGATTTTTCTTTGCAAAGGTAAGTGTGTATATGATTATATGTATATTGTTAGTGTCGTCTAGATACATGAGTAGGTGGGTATTGTGTTGTTTGCGTTTGTGTTTGTGTTTATATCGGTATCCAAAATTGAAAATATCACGCATCTATCTATTCCATCCATTCCATTGCATCCCATCCCATACAACGCCATTCCCATCCAATTCAGTCCAATCAATCCTATTCCAACTTATCCATGCTATTCGTATCATAGTCTTCATACCATCTATCCAATTTACAGATGTTCGCTTTCCTAATTCAAATCCAACAACGCCTAACGTTCAACCCACCACATCTATCTATCCATGTACTAATTATCCAAAAGATAAGACCACTCTGGGATTTCTTTGATGAGACTCCACATATACTTCTCCACCTTATTCGCACACTTTGCATATGGCGTGGAATCATTATTATACTTTTTACAATTGGAGAAAACGAGCGTTGCGTCCGCGACGAAATCTTCTGGTTTCTCATATGAATCCTGATCGAGTTTTCTTTCCATGGTTTCAAAATCCATCGGGTTAGTAATGACTGAGTAATAATCTGCAACTTCATTACCATTGACAGGAGCCTTAAATGGCCAAGCCTTCTGATGATTTTGAAGCGAACTCAGGAGGCGAGAAAGCTGAGCATAATTTGGTCCATGACGAGGTTGGCGAGCTAATTCGTCCATGGCGGGTGTCCATCCAGAGGCACGAATAGCTGGGATGGACATGGGATCGATGGGAAAAGCACCATTCTTCCATTGTTTGGGTGGTGCGTGGACTGCGTCTGATTTGCTAAAGGCGAGAATCTTCGCATTGACTACCTCCTTTTGCTTAACGATCATGCGGTTTGATTCAAGGTACCGAACTCTGGGAACCATTTCGCAATGCATGATTGTTCCACCTTCGTAATCTTTGATATAACCCATCCAGAGAGGTTTTGGCAGAGTAATTTCTTTGGTGAATCCTTGTTTCTTAAAGTATCCGATAGCATAATTATCGGCGTAGGTCAGAAAATGCATGACTTTGGAGGAAGCTTTGACATAATCTTTGAGATGGTTCATGAGATGTGCACCATATCCTTTGACTTGCTGATCGGATGATATGGCACAAAAAACAATCTCTGCAAACTCATGATCATCAAATGGTCGATAGGTAATCCCTCCTAATACTTCTAGTGTTGCTTTCTTTACCAATGCCATAGATAAATGATTTCGATCATAGACTAGACGAGCAATATATTCCTTTGGCATTTTGGGCAATTGTTTTTGAAAGATACCTTTCAGCCCCGAGAGAATTATAGTACTCTCATTCGTATCGTCATTATTGACAACTCGAAAATCAATTTCACCCTCTCGCTCTTCGATCACTGCGGGCTAGATTACTGTTAGACAGAACCTGATGATTGATCGCATAAGCAAACTCACTTTTTCCGGGAACGGTATAATGTTAATGTTGGCAGGATGTTCTGCATTCATCTTTTTTAAATTGTCGGTCAATTCGGTTTCACTCATTTTCATCTTCTTAGTAGATACGGGAAAACTAGGGGGCTCCTCGGTAGCCTTTCGCTTTGGCGCATTTTGGGAATTTGGAAGCGACTCTTCTGTACCAGCTTTTCGTTTTGGTGTATCTTGAAGATTCGGACCCATGACTGTGTTGGATACAAGAAGCTCTTGATCTGAATCCTCGAAATCTGAAATCGATTCTTCTGAGGTTGCTAGACTTGATAGGCTTGATTCTCCTGACACAGTATGTTCTATGAAATCAGGTGTTTCCTCAATGCTAGACTGTGGTAATTGAGAACGTGATCTTCTAGGGCCTGTCGTATTCCAATATTGGCCCAAATCACTTTTGATATCTTGGGAAGCCATGTTAGCAACTTTGATCAATTGCATGTAGATTGAGGAACGGCTTACTGTAGTTCTGAAATATAAAGATAGATAACAAATCAGAGGTTAATAGTGTTGTTGCTACTTGCCTATTCTATCTCTCTTAATATATTGAAGCGTATTGCCGTTGCCAAAAGGTGTAGAATATTATGGGAAGGAGGGGAAAGAGATGGAAAGAGATGCGTTTATTGTCAGAAACCTGGAGAAGTTGATCATCAAGGTTCGGGGCCCTTCATTATATAATCCATCATCTTAGTGGCTCAAATGAGTGGCTCGTGTGGCTTAAGTGCATTAGTGTTTCTGGGTCCATCGGTGGAGCTTTTTTCCGACGCTAAACTATTCCAGGATGTGAAGCCAGATTGCTGATGCTTTCCACAGGTGTCGTAAGCTTTGAGCTATATCAATTGTTTTCAACCTACTGCAATTATACATAGCAGAGACAATAACATAACATTCAAATTTCAGTCAATCAATTCCCTCTTGGATTCCACTTGCCCTTTCTCCAGAAGTCGATTCAACTTTACCTACCAGTACCTACACATCTTCCAAACTCATCATATGGAGTCCTCATTACACGGAGTTTGGGAAAGTGCCGTTGGCAATCCCTTCATCCCTACCGTTGGAAAAGACAGTCAATTCACCTTGGGATTCTCATTATTGTGCATCGGAGTTCTTCTTTCTGGATTATTTGGTCTCAGTATGCTTTTCAAGAATTACATTCATTGGCTTGTAACTAATAATTCGCTCTAGATCGATCAGCTCTCACTCTGCCATTACTTGGACTTCCTGCTTCAGCAGCCATTGCGTATGTTACATTGGAATATTCTTCTTCGTGCAGGTACTGATATTAAGTAGATTTGGTTCAGTTTATATGATCTGTGCGGTTGGAGTTTATGTTTAAGATACCCCTCCATCATCGAGACGAACATACTACGTTACCGCATTTTTGTACAATAGCTGCATGATATAAAAACACAAGGAGTTAATATAATTGACATATCTGATTTCGCCGATACATTACTCAAGCTCCTCTACAACAGTCCATCTTTGATAAATCATCAACCAATTTCTCTCTATCCATCTTCACAATGTCGACACCTCCTGTTCACGAGGAGCCAGCAGTGCCAATCTTCAAAGCCGTGTCCAGTTCTGCCCGGCAGCTCTTCCAATTACTCAATACTATACGATTCGCAACCAAAGTTCAAGTCCAAATCAGTACTGAAGGTATTCGATTTGCGGTTGAAGAATCTCGAGTAATGCAAGGTTAGTTCCCATAGTTCAATGGACGTAGTTCGCCTTGTAACTTTTTTTTTAGGAATTGTATTTCTTGACAAAGCCTTATTTACCACTTTCAACTGCACTCTTCCTGAACCGAATCCAGAAGATTTTGAGGAAGAAGATGCGTCCTCAAATGATTTACCTGCCTTTCAAATATCTCTTTCCGCCCTACTCGAGACTTTACAAATTTTTGGCGCAGCAGATGCTACTTCACGATTTTCCAGACCCGAAAATGAAGGATATAATAGTAACATCCGTCCCAATCGACAAAATGCATTCAGCAATCAAGCTTTAGGAATGGCAGGCGTATGTCGTTTCTCTTATGCCGGAATAGGATCTTCCTTCAGTATTATTCTCGAAGAAGCGGGTGTCACCACAACTTGTAATCTCAACACCTATGAACCGGAAGACTCGGAAGAAATTCCATTTCAACGAAATGAGATGCAGGTTAAGATCATTACACAAGCTCGTTGGCTTTTCGATGCCATTCAAGAGTTAAATAACATGACTCCGACTCGACTTGATATTCTTGCTCTTCCTTTAAAACCCTACTTCAGCTTATCTGCTTCTGGCCATCTGGGAAGTGCTAGTGTTGACTTTTCTAAAGGTAGAGAATTATTGGAAACTTTTACTGTCAAAGAAAGGTGGTCTCAAAGTTATCGTTTCGATATGGTAAAAGCTGCTGGGGATGCTATGAGACTAGCGAGTAAAGTTAGCGTAAGAGGGGATGAGCAAGGTGTTTTGAGTTTGCAATTCATGGTGGAAGTAGATGGGGGTGGTGTTAGCTTTGTTGATTTCAGATTTGTGCCATTTATTCGAGGGGAGGAAGATGAGGATGATGAAAACAGTCAAGAGGATGAGGATGATGAGTTTGGAGAGGGAGGTGATGATGAATAGTAGATTATCTGAACATTATCAAGCAAATTCAATATGATTTTGAGTATCCGATGTATCATAACTCTCCGGGCTTCAGCCTAGCTGTCTTGTGATATTTTTCATCGCCATCTTTTATCATACAGTGCCTTCTAATTGTGATATTTTCATGTGGACTTTTGCAGGTTGGACTGTACTGTACCAGGATTCACCTAGAAGCAATAAATCTACACATTCACCGTACGTGAGTTCTAGCATGTGGTACTAAGCGGCGCACCTCTAGGTATAGTCATAAAGACACATCTCTTAAAGGACTTTGCATTATCGCGAGACACTTTATAAACTCAACACACATACTTACTTTTCTTCCCAAACACCACCACTTTTCTGAACTCCCAACAGACCACACCATCAAAACCCCAAATACTTTTGATCATTCCACAACAAATTTGAAATGGAAACAAAGTCCAACAACGAACCCATCGCCTTCGGGCTCGCATTCGCTATCATCATATCGACGATGCTATTCATTGGGCTCACATTCGCTACCATCATATCGCCGATTCTATTCATCTGTGGTAAAATGATGCGCGGAACTGATATTAAAGATGTACAGGTCAAGGAACGAAAACGTGTTGTTTCGCGATTAGTACGTCTGGGACCGCATCGATTACGAGGGATTTGTGAGGGCGAGGGAGTGAGTTTCATGGTTAGGGGTGAGCGGGGGGATTTTGCTGGAGATGGTGATGATGATGGAGAAGGTGAGGAATTGAGAATGTTTTCGGAAGAAATTACACGAGAGGTGCGGATGCAATTGAGAGGGGAATTGAGAGCGCAGTTGGAGGGGGATGTGAGGGGGGAAGTTGGGAGGGATTTGAGGGTGGAGATTAGAGAGGAGATGAAGAGGAGTGGGAGAGAAGGTCGGTTGGTGGAGGATGTTAGGGAGGAGGTTAGACGGGAGGTTCAGGGAAGATTAAGGAGGGAGATGGAAAGGGATTTGAGACGTGATGTTAGTAGAAAGTTGAAGGCGGATATTAGAGAGGAGATGAAAAGAAGTGGAAAAGAGATTGGTATGGTCACTGAAGTGGTTGCGGATATTAGGGAGGAGGTTAGACGGGAGGTTCAGGCGAGGTTGAAGAGAGAAGTGGAGAGGGATGTGAGGTGAGTTTTGGGGGGTTTCGTTTTCTCTGTTTTGTTGATCATGAGTTATTTGCTAACATTACACCGATTTAGAAGAGTCATTGATGTGGAGAAAAAGCAGTTGGAGGCGAAGTTGAGGAGAGAGATGGAAATGGAGAAAAAACAATTAGAGGCAAAGTTGAGGAGAGAAATGGAAATGGAGGCGAGAATGGTCGAGGTCGAGAAAAAGGTCGAGAAGAAAGTCGAGGCGCAGACTGAAGAAAAGAGCATGGTAAGGAGGGATGGAAAAGGAAATGGAAGCGAGGAAATTATGATCTCGACAATGGCCACGCAGAAGGAAAACGAAAGCGTTGAAGGCAGCGAGGAGGTTATGTTTTCAAAGACGACCACACAGAGTATTGTTGCAAGAACGAAGACGAGATAGGCAGTTTGCGAGAAAGACTGTTCAGAAAATTGGGCTTGTCTTGTCATTGATATACTGCTCTCTGGTGGTATTTAATGGAGACGGTGGGGATGCGAGCATCGGCTGGGCGATATGGATCGTGGGCGTAACGGAGAGGTGTTTACTTAGATGAGTTCTATCAGATATAGAGATATATCCACTTAAAGATGTATGTGGATGACTTCTTCCTCGTGTTTAATGCAATTTTCATGTTTTGCTAATTTGTACCAAATTACGACTGTTCATTTCTATCACTCCTACAATAAAGGCACTTTGCAATTGGCAGATATAGACTATTATTTGAAGAAAATCACTGTATGCATGCAAGTCAAGTTTTCTTTGTGATGTTCATGTCACAGTTCCATCGAGGAAGACTGTTTTTGCACAATGTCGGCAGTTTCCAAGAGCAAAAGCGAAATGTCTTTTCTTATAGAGCATCTATGTGACGACCCTGCAACGGCACTTTTATGCATCTCATTCTATCGACCTCATCTCTCTTCCCTTGATCTCAAACAGCAACGGAGAATCGACTGCGTATTCTCACCAGGACTAATTAGCTGAGGATGGATGGCTAACGATGTCATGGAGAACTTTTTTGCCTTCCTTTCCACTATTGGTCTACCGCAACACTAAAGCAATGCTATACATGAGAGTGAAAGAGTATTGTTCTTACAGCAAGCAATGATGGCGCGAGTTGTTTTTCTCGAGCAACAATTATTTGCCTACGAGAGTATGCAACAACGGCCACCAGTCACTCAATCAATCCATCTCTGTTGTTCTCTATCATACCCAATCACCGCTAAATCCACATTCAACGTTCTCAGCATCATTGCCATTGTAAATTCCTGTACTAATTAGTATTGTGTCACATCAAACACTATTGAACCTACATCTTCCTCTCCGGGATTTTCTCCAGTGTCTCCTAGACCTGGAGCTCTCTGTGCCTTCTCATTATCCGTTTCAGGATCAATGCTATATTCTGCATAAACGTCTCGATTTTCTTTGTCCTTACCCTCCTCATCTTCATCATCAGAGTTGTTGTTATTATTGTTATTGACTTCATCTTGTTCCCAGTTATTTTGGTACTCATGTTGTCTCTTTTGCATTTCCTTCCAAGCTCTTGGTCCACCCATCCTATGCCATCCAACAATATCAGCGTAACTCCTATGGCCCAAGACAGAGTGACATACCTATTAACTCTATCTCTAACCTTCCCAAATAACTCTTCTGCTGCCAATCTACTCGCGCTCCTCCATTTCTCACACAAATCTACCAACTCCCCATCAATCTCTCCACTTCCATTTTTATCTTTTGCTTTACTATCCCTCTCAATCTTCTTAGCCTGCTCTGCCGTGTCCAATTCCTCCTTCAATTCCTTCAATAGCTTCTCTAATTCTCTCTGCTCCTTCAGCAGTGGCGCAATATCCGGATCAGCATTGATAACTGCTGCTGAAATGGGCGATGTGAAGGATTTCTTGGTGCGAATCGCAGTCTTTGGAGATGGAATACTCACGACAGGGTAAGAAGTTGGAGTTTTGGAAAGTGAAGGAGTAGAAGCTGCGGCGGCAGCGGCAGTGGAAGCTCGAGTATTTGGAGAGCCTTTGATAAGAGGCGATTTGAATGGGGTCTTGAAAGGTGATCGAAAGGGTTTTTGGAGAGTACTTGCAGCTTCAATTCGACGACGTTTCGCTGCTGGGGTAGACATCTTGTGACTTTAACTTGAGTTAGTGCTGCTGATGGTAAGTTATTGATCAAAGATTGTGAAGCATTGTTATAAGAGCATTCTTTAGCAGATGAGTATGTTCTGTAATAAGTTTTTGAAGTTGTGGTTCCCGAGAGTACGAGAGTCTGGAGAAAGCTCGGACCTCCATTATATTGCTCTTCGTCAGGAAACATTTGCAGTATGAAAGTCACCAGATATTGCCTCTCTTGCAGTATTAAATCAACTGGCATTAAAGTGGATAGGCCGATTTGCAGCACACAAATCTACTGGTCTTCAAGCGGAACTGATCATAATTCATTTCTTAATATTTTACAATTCTATATGTAGCGATGAAGCAGTGATAAAAACACGCTCCGTAATCTTGTAGGAGCCATATTCAATGTCTTCAACTGCTCTTCCCATGATTTGCTATCATCCGATGTAACATCTTCACTTAAGATCTTCCGAATATCCCTGGATGATCCTAGGTGCTCACCTCGTGGAATACCTGATAGGTCGACTGTGACAGTATTGTTCTCGATATTTTTGTTGCCTATGACGATTATTGCACCGTAACGTTTTCGCTTTGCTTCAGAAATCTTCTTCTTGACCGATCGGGGACTATCATCTAACTCGATAGGAAGCTCGATGAAATGCCGTGATTTTGGCCATGAATTATGATACGCTCCCTGTCCCAATTCCATTTTGACTTTATTCGCGTAACTCACTATTTCTTCCGAATCATTCACCGTGAGGATGATAACTTTAGAGGGGTTTAACCAGAATGGCCAGTGACCATTATAGTGTTCTATCAAGAGAGCCATCATTCTTTCCACAGATCCGAGAATAGCTCTATGAATCAGAACTGGCGCCACCGGTCCTTGTTTAGCCAGCAATATGGGGTCATCTGTTGTCTCTCCCCTGGCCTCAATTTCTGGTGCAGGAGCTTGATACTCTAACTCGAAACGTTTTGGCAACTGGAAATCAAGTTGAATTGTTGCGGTTTGATGCTCTTTTCCATCAGAATCTTTCAAAATTACATCAATTTTTGGTCCATAGAAAGCGCCATCTCCTTCATTCATGGTCCATGGTTGTCCACTTTCATCCAATGACTGCTTCAAAGCTGTTTCGGCATTGTCCCATTCTTCCTTTGTTCCAATGTAATGATCGCTCGGTCGAGTAGACAACGCTAATCTATATGGGCCAAGCCCTAACGTCGTATACACCATTCGAACGAACTCCAATGTACCAGAGATCTCTTTCCCAATTTGTGAAGGTCGACAAAAGATGTGCCCATCATCCTGGTGGAATCTTCGTACCCTGGTTAAACCGCTCAGAGCGCCGGATATTTCGTTCCTGTGCAATGGACTGAAATCAGTATATCTTATAGGCATCTCACGATAGCTTCGTTGCTTTGATGCGAATATCAAACAATGACCCGGGCAGTTCATTGGCTTCAAACCATATTCTTCATTCTCTCCTTTTTGGCCCCCAATTGTTTCTCCAGATGCACCACGACCAACCACTGAATACATGTCTTCGGCATAATTCTCCCAGTGCCCCGACTTTTCCCATAGGGATTTTTTGTATATTGTAGGTGTTATCACCTCCTCAAAACCAAAATGTGAGTATTGGGCACTGAGAAACTCAGTCAGTGCTTTAAACATGCGTGCACCTTTAGGAAGAAACAGAGGTGAGCCGGGACTATAAGGGGAAGTAGTAAATAGTTCTTGTTCGATTCCAAGCTGTCGATGGTCAGCTGCCGGAGTTGAGAGGCTTGCTGTGGTAGCTTTCGCGACATTCGAGACATTCGAGGCTATTGATGGACTCTCGCACGATGCACATGAACGGGTCAGAATAAATGTCGCATGGTTCGACTTCCTTGGGCTAATATATCGAAGGCATTTTGGAGGTGATTTGACATTCAGTCCATTCTGGAACAGTCGCAAGGCTCTAGAGGAAACCATCACGAAATTTGTGAATCATACGCTGATACCAAAGGAGCCTTGGGAATCTTTCGATATGCAGCTCTGAAGCTCAGTTAGGTAATTTTTCCGAAATGGTGGGGTAAATCACGAGTCAACGCGGTATCGCGTTTGCACGTGATATTAACCTCACATGAAGCCTGAAAATTCTAATACACCAAAGGCAGCAAGGAGAGACAAGTTCCAGGATATTATATTTTGCGGGGTTGCGATAGGTGGGAAAGACAACAACAACAACAGATCATGAGACAACGTCATTCATCTATTTATCCTTCATAACATGAGTTAGAACAAAGTTGCTGTCGCCACTTTCAATATCTACATATGTTCACCACATTCAACTCTTTTTAAATCATTGCTTATCGTATTCTCAGTCCTATCTTGCTGTTGTGCTACTCATATCCTTGCGTTTACCAAATTAGTAGAAAGGACAAGGTCGTAGCGTTGACATCAATTGCATTACCATCACTTACCACTACAACGATTCAAAGCAAAATTTAATCATCGGCCGCAGCTTCCCACGATGCGTGGCGGTAGACCAAACCTACAGCTTGGCGAATCATGGGTCGTAGAAGGCAACCAGGAGGACTATGAAGAATATCTGCCACCCATCGAAGCAGATTACGATCGTCGAACAAGATCTTCTGTTCCACGAAGACCTACAAGAGGTAGTAATAGGTCCCCAGACCCGGAATTCGTGATGCCTTCTCTGGACGCGGAAACTCTAGAAGCTTCATGGTCTCAGGCAGAGAGCACTAGTAGAAGCCCCCGGCGATTTCAAGAATCTCAAAGACGAAACTCGCGACAGGATCCAAACCTTGAGAGCTCTAATATACGTCTAAGAGCCCAAACTACTCATAACAGATCATCTTTGGCTCCTCCAACTGTAAACTCTCATCCACCACATCGTCCAAATTCCGACGCCAACGATATCATTACTACCATCATCGATCATACAACAATGGTCTTTGCATGGATTCTAGAGATCTTGGGGGATGCGCTTAGACTTTTGCGTACGCCTCTATCTTACTTACTTGCTATATGCATTCTCTCCGGCATCGGTCTCGTAGCACGAAGCCTGGTTACCACATCCATCTACGCATCATTATCTCCCATTTGTCTGATCCCAGGGTCATCTTTGTTGAATTTGCCGTTCTGTTCTACTCATAATGCTGATTCTAGTAAGGCAAAAGTACCAGTTGAGTTTGAACAAGTTATGATGGTTCAATCTCAGTTCGAAGATATACTTAGGGAAAGCGCTGGAGGAGTCTCCCTGCCACTAGACATGAAACGTGGAGAGAGCTTTCTTAGAGATCTTCGTCAACTTGTACGATACAGCCAATTGAAGTCGAGGTAAGCAATCGTTTGATACTTCCAAATAGGCGAGCCTCTTTAACGAAGGTCTGGCAGCCGAAGACTACGAGACCAGTCCCACCAAAAGAGCAAAATACTAACACTTTGACTTACAGGAACGAACTTGTCATGGAATTTGATGGATTCATCGATACCGCAAAAATTGCATCATGGGACCTTACAAAGTTCAATAGTCATGTGGGTAGAGCAGTGGATAGTGTCATTTCTATCACACGCTGGACCTCACGAGTTCTTGATGGTATTCAAGAACGCGAAACTTCCCATGGCTTGATCGGAACCTTTGTCAATGACAAGCTACTTGCACCCTTTCAGCCTGCCAAGTTTTCTGAAAGACTTGTTCTTGATCAGTATGTGGAGCATACTCGAGCTGTGGAAGAAGAAATCGCTCGTTTGGTTTTGGAAGCGCAAGCTCTATTGATGGTTCTAAATAATTTAGAAGATCGCCTGGAAATTATTCATGGAATTACAGTACGAGACGGTGTCCAAGTACAAGCTAGCAAAGATGAGACTCTGTCAGAATTATGGGCATGGCTTGGTGGTCATCGAGGCAAGATCAACAAACTCAATGGCCAGCTTAATTTGTTGAAAGAAATTGGCGACCGACGTAAAATTGCTTTAGCACATGTATCGGGAACCTTGATCAAGCTTCAAGAGATTAGTTCTGGTCTAGAGGACTTGCGAGAAAGGGTAGCCGCACCAGAATTGCTGCGCGACAGAATCGACATACCCTTATCCGTTCACATCGAACACATTCAAGCGGGCATAAATCGACTGGAAGAGCAGAAACTTATTACACAAAAATCAAAGGATGCTATCATGGAAAGAGCGAGAAACCGTCATGATATGGAAGAAAATCTTATAGATGGATGACGTATCTGGGTCTCCGGCTGCTTCGGCGGTAGTCAGAAATTCTCGCTAACGAACAACTCACCAACTGTTGGTCGGTACTTAATAATGAGGATTAAAATCTTTTCTTTTTTCGGCTGTGACGATCAGAGTTCTATTACTGTATACTCTGAGTGCCAGTATCTTTGTCGTAGCTCTTGGGTGAATTTGTGGGTATCAAGAAGCTTAGTGGATCGGCTTCGTTAGTTTGCCAGCTAGTAGCTCATACGCTAGTAGCTGAGAGGTCCCAATAAACCCCACACCCCTCTTCATATTTCTTCCTCTTCACACTTCACTTATTTCTTCGTTTCAATATATCAATAACTACGTACTGTGTCCTTACACATTATTCTCCCGCCCACCTCGACTTCTTCATCTCGGGCCACCCCACTCGGCTATTATCCTTCTGATCATTCCTCTTCTCTCGAATTTCTTCCGTCTCTGATCTTTCTCCTCTTGAACCTAATTGCTTGTTGTTTCTTAAGCTAATCCGAGACAATGGCCGAAGTTAATGAATCTGCGATGGGAGAAGATGAAGGCGTTTTCCCAAAGGAAGAAATCCCTTCCTCCTACATTCCCAATAATTTCACATTACCTGGAAAGGAACTTCAAAGACTGCCGGTTATTTCATGTGGGATTTCATCTAAAGGATCTCGAGCCATCATTCCGGAACTTCAAGTCATTGCTTCGGAAATACGAGTCCTTGGAGGAAGAATTCATTTTAGCCATAAGAGCTCGAAGCGAATCTACAATGAAATCATTTCCGATCAACACCACCCCAAACGAATGAAAGAAATTGACGATGATCAAGAGAGGCAAAATGCCAGATTTAACGAGCCAGCTTTGGACCTTCTTACCATAGAGCAAGATCTTGTAAAGGATCTAGAGCCGATTTCGCGAGATTTGACTCTCGTCCGAAGATTCAAACCCATGTTTGACCAGAAGAGAGAGATTCTAAAACGGAAGAAGACTCTTCCGCAACAGCAACCACAGAATGGCACGAAAGTTCTATATGTTCATGCGGAGGATAAGCTTTATCCGCGAAGTGTCAAGGGGACGGCGGGGCGCATAAAATTAATACCAGTATTTCAATTCTCGGAGCGTGTTACAACTCTGGAGGAGATCGAACATTCGAAAAAAAGTCAAAAGCTGGTGCTATCCAAAGAACTGTCAAAGGATATGTTGGAGCATTGTGTTCTACGAATTGACCACAACGATTATTTGCTCAACGACTGGAGAAATTTTATAGCCCTGCCTACAGAAGACCAAAGTGTAGGGGACACCAGCATAGAATTAGTGAAGAACCACTTGCTCCACGGAAGATGGGTATGGATCACAAAGGAAACTGAAATTTGTCGTAGGAGTATCGTGATTGAGCGAACGTCTCAACTTTACGACGCTCGGTTGATCTACATTCTCAGCAATGATATACAACTGCCCAATCGGCTCGAACCCCTTAAAATTTTCACTCAATCCAGACGCCGAAAGTGGGATACTTGGGAGAAAACGCAAGACCAGCAAGAGTTTTCTTTGGCTTCAACGGAGGCAAAGCTCTGGAGATGGGTACATGGTAAAGCTTACATAGAAGGTGAAGGCGGACCTCTTGCGTGGATAAATCACGAGAACAACAATGATTTGGCCAGGTTCTCCCGTCTAGAAAACCAGGGACATCGTGACTGGAGGACAAGAACGGCAATATTTGGAAAGAGAATAGATCGTTCTCTGTGTATCACACCACCTATGGTCAAGATAGATTCTGGTCTTGGCGTAGTGCAAGAAAACAATGATTCCGGCGAACCCTCTTCTTCTACCGAATTCATTTCCAAATTGAAGCATTTACCTGGGTGTGATAAGACGAATACCCCAGGATTTGGCTGTGATTGCCCAGGTCCTGCCCGAAAGGAGGGCCATCAGCTGGATGACGACTGTAGTGAGAAATGCCAAAAACTCATAAAGAGTCTAATTACAAAAGGATATAGCCTCGAGCTGCGCGTTTCCAAATTAGAAGCTATTGTTGAAATTGCTTTAAGTGGAAAATCAATTCGCAAATGGGATAAGAAGATTCCAATATCGAAATCCAAGCGTTCATCGACAGGTCCAAATCCCGCAGCGGTAACAACTCTTTAATGCTCTCACGATCTTGCACATCAATATTGGATATAGAGATATGATCTTTTTCATTTTTTGATGTTCTACTTAATTTGTAATTTGTAATCGGAAATCGATGGGTCGCAGGAGATGGAGATCTAAATGAGAGCTATAGGTTCGCTGGATAAATCTGTATTGTTGAAAGAGGAGGAGAAATGTTGCGTTTTGTTGGTTTTATTCTTGGGGCAATGGAGTATGATTATGCATAAAGAGTTACGATTTATGGCTCTATAACAGATAACAACTTATAATAATCACTGTACATATTTTCCCTAAATCGAAATACGCAACTAGATAGGTTATTTTGAAACTACGGGGTGCTATGTTGCGATTGAGAAACATGCCACTATTCCCATAACTCAAGTTAGGCGAAGCCTGGCGAGCTCAGGATCAAAATGAATTCTGAAAGTGGGAGGGAGAAAGCACATGATTATTCTTGCTAGTTTGATTACGCCTAACCTAAATGATTTGGTACTCGGGTTTTCTTGTCATGTTGTGAATTCAAGTTCTTCATCCAAAAGTCAATCTTCCATCCTCTCGTCAGATTGGTGACTATTACAAAAAGTGGGTTATTTCTATCATAGGTACGAAGACCTCTTCTTGTTTTAAACACTTCGTCTTTTGTTTCCTATGATTGAGATCATATCTTTCAACTAAACTCGAGCTAAAGTCCAAGAAAAAGTCTCAATGTGGGGGGATCAACGGGTAGTTCGATACTAGAAACTTGAGCCGAGACTAAATTCCAACTACTGTCGTCTTGACACCCTGCATCTCAGGAACGTCGTCATGATAGCTCAACGGTTAAAATTCTAATACTCCAAGTCTCTTGGTTCACCCACTTTCTTGCATACAGTTCTTCTAAATCGCAACTAATTGTAGATCTTTGCTGCTAACATCAAGCTTTTCTTCGGCCTAGCCAACACAAGCAACCTAACTAGCCCAACAATAACAACTCTCATCAAGATCTTCCATATATCAGTGGCTAGTTAGATCTCGAGACCTCTGGATGATCGCATAGCAAAGGTAATTGGTTAATCTTCGAGGAAGGATAGTTACTGTTGCACTTCTGCTTCACATGCCATTGCTGTATTGCCCATGTCTGATGTGATCTTTCCCATCTATTCAGAATGGGATTTTGCAATGAATTTTACGCTTGTCGAAACGTGGGTTGGGTTCCAGTGGTTGATGGAGTTGCTGATTCCAAACCGATTGGCACAAGATGACTGGTTAGTTTAGCTCTTATGAGCAGCAATTACGAAGGAAAGGAAGGCTTCGAGGAAACAGGACTTTTGATTGCTTTAAAACAGTTTGTAATGCTGAATTTTCTTCCTTGGAAATGTGGATAGGTTCGATGTACTCATCGTCTCTTGTGCTAGACTTGAGCACTCGGATAGGTGTTCAGGTCGCCAAGAACGAAACTTCAAACTCCATGTTGTATAAGGAATAATTTTAGTGATGATGTGGTGGATGCTTATTATCTGAGTGAGGTTGTATCGTCACGAGCATTTTCTGCATATTTCTCGAGATCATTGTGGATAGGTAACCTTGGAATCGTTTGATGCTTTTTTACTGCAGCGGGTGATGTCAAACTGTGGCTGGATTGACGTGGCGGAAGGTGGCTTTGAGGCGTTGCGGGGGCGGCGCGTTAGCGGAAACAATTTTATATTGATATCGAGGCATTTCTAAGCATTAGAAATGCAGTCTGACTGTTGAAATTGTCATCATTGAAGCTTTTTGACTGTAATTTAACCCAATAGATCGTTTCTATTGCGTGATATCTATTCCATCGGGCTTCTTCACGATGAATAATCTACTGCGAAGTAAATCTGGCTGTTGGACCTGCCGTTTGCGCAAGAAGAAATGCGATGAGCGAAAACCATCACCGTGTTCCACATGCGAATCCTTAGCGATAACTTGCTATGGATACGGGCCTAAGCCAGACTGGATGGATAATGGACCAAGAGAGAAAGAAATGGCGAACAGTATTAAACAAATTGTCAAACACACATCACGTCGAAAGGGTCGACTGTCTGGTTCAAATGGGGCTCCGAACAATGGGGTTAATACAGTGGCTTCTACCATCAATATTGCACCAAAGGCCGCAACTGCACCCACCAGAACCATTTCTACTACTATTGAAGATCAAAAAACTTCCTCGCAATCTTCCCCTGCCCACTCCAGTCCAGGTGTATCGGCGGAAACTTCCATGGTAAGATGATCACAATTGAGCATTGATAAATGACTAACAAACCCCAGGGCACGGCGCCAGAAAGCGGAAACAGAATTTTTGGCACACCAGCCATTACAAGTAACGAAGCAGCTTTACTAATGCATTTCGTGGATAATGTGTTTCCGCTGCAATATCCTATGTATAAGCCTGAAGTGCCTGACGGAGGACGAGGGTGGTTGCTCTCTCTTCTGCTGAAAACTAAACCTTTATATCATGCATCTATTGGCCTAAGCGCGTATCATCGCGGTGTTGTACTTCGTGAACTGACTTCCGGTGGATGCACAAAGCCCAGCATCGCCGAACAAGAGAGCCACCTTGCTATTTGTTTGACTGAATTTCAAGAGGCGATTAGATCGGCTCAGGATTGTGCTAAAGACTGTGTCTATGGCAGGGATATTTGCGTGGGGAGCAGTCTTGCAATTATGGCTTGTGTTGTTCAACTTGTCTTTTTCGAGGTAAGTCGCGTCTTTTAGATGATGCATGACTTTCAAAAGTCTCACTAAGTTTTCGAGTAGCTTTTTGGTGTAGAAAAGAGCTCATGGGAAATTCATCTCCGCGCGGCTACGGATTTGTTTGGTCAGGGGTACCGAGCGCATGCCGCCGAGCTTGGCTTATGGACCAATGATGAATCGACAGCCATCACTCTACCAACAGCTTGTGAACTGCTAAACAATGAACCCTGTATAATTTTCTTATTTCTATCCGGGGTTGTTATGTGGCTGGACGTAGTGTCTTGTATAACTACAGGAAAGTCACCACAACTTCTTGATCTCCATCATATGGCTTTTGGCCGCCAGATCAAGCTAGAGAGGATTATGGGTTGCAAGAACTGGGTCATGACTGAAATAGGCCGTACTTCTACACTACATGTATCTAAACGAAACGGGCTTCAGAACGGTACCTTTGACGCCCATTCGTTCGAGACACAGGCCGATGTCATCAGACAAACCATCCGGCGCGGATTAAATGAACAATTCTTGACAGAACTTCGCATTACAAATCCAAATCCGACCTCACATGGTGAATCACGGATAAGCGACCAAAGTGTCATCACACGGCTCTTTACTCGTGCTGCCTGCATTTATTTGGAGCTGGTCGTTCACGGGTTTAAAATTGTCGAAGAGCAGCCGGACTTGTACAGTCTTATCGCCGAACCTTTGAAGATGCTTCCAACTACTATACTACGTGGGGATTTGATCCGTGCTATTGTGTGCCCCTTGTACATTATAGGATGTGTGGCCAAAGTAGAAGAACGAGATACATTCAGAAAGATGTTTTCTTCGCCACCATTGAATGATCCATTTATGCATCATCGAAGTACCATTTTACCTCTCCTGGAAAAGGTCTGGATTCTCAGGGATACCCATTCGAATAACGTGAGCTGGGAATGCGTGTTGCAACTTTCCGATGATAAGATACTAGTACTCTGAGTCGAGGCCATGCATCTACTTGCTCCTCAATGTTCGAATTTTGCCTATAGCTTCAATATACAAATCAGTTCGCCAAGGGCTCGAAACTGTCCCAAGCCACTCATCTCTACCGCTGCCAACCGAATAAGGCGTTAGTCTCTAAATATTTTGTCTTTCTGAGGGTAACTAGGCAATCATCAAGTGAATATCAATCATGACTCACCCATATCTTGCTTGGTTGTGATGAACGGTATCATCATAATAAAACCCCCAGTCTCCCCCCGAGCTCAAGTCCTGCCACTACTTGGTATCCGTACATCTCGTGGAATATCATTATTGGGTGAAAAGAAGCCAAGAATCAGCGGTTTAAACCCCATCAAGCTCTATATGAAGGGGATGCAAAAAATTTGGACAAGGACTCTGCCTCTAGAAGAGCCAAATGGCATACTAATGGCCAGAGTCAACAATCGATAACCTGCTTCGAAAGGAGAGTTTCCATTCACAACCTGAAATCTTTGCCGAATGTTGATTATCACCGTTGTCGTCACTGCTTTGTAAGAAATGAGTTTCTGTTGCCACGGAAGCAGATTAACTACTGCATACCTGCCAAGTTGGGCTTCAAATAAGGACTTAAATGAATACTGAAGGGGCGTTGCATTTACAAAAAATTCCCTTCGCAAGGCGTTTTGTAGCCAGTCGCCAAGGGAATACTGCCTCTCGCTTGGTTTCATGGTTTCTTTGATACCATTCCCAAGTCGAAAAAGAGTATCCAGAGAACGACAGATATAGTTGGGCAGGCTCACTTTAATGACGCTGTGCCAAGAATATCGTGTGCCTCCTCCCTCCGAAGTGGTGACAAACAAGACAGAGGCCCCTGGAAGAAGTAGCAAGCCAATCACATCTATGCTCTTGAAGTCTTCGATGATGAGAATCGTTCCTTTTTTGTGGGGGCTCTCTGGGTGTAAAAAGGTTCTGTGGCAGGTATAAGTGGTCCGGTACTTTACATTCTACGTATTGTTTGGGGTATTAATACTTTAAAACGAAGCACCCTTGTTGGTTTTACAACCAACGAAGACGGCCGGATATCATGCAGTCATTTTGAGACGCGTAACGGGTTCTACGAGTTAATTTTCTACCCACCTAGGTGTGGCAGATGCGCCCAATGTTCAATAAACTGCAAGTCATTTCCTGTACACCACGGCGGTATAATGTGCGGCGTGCCCATGTTCATTCATTTCGGGAATCAGCCTTTGTTTGGTAAACGATCATTGCCTGTTCACATGTCTACATATCTGGCTGAATGGGCAAGTTCCAAGCCTTGAACCTGTTTTGAGAAAAGCTGCCCTTCGCCGACGAAAGCAAATAGTTTCATATCTTTATGTCAAATGGTTTCCCTTAACATTTAGACTTCGAACAAGAAATGCAAGATATCACTACTTCGAAAACCCAGTATCCTCACTACCTACGGGCAATTAACCTCATCCATACCACACCCAATCTAGATATTCCACCCCTAACGCCATTAAATATGGCCCACATATCTTGAAAGTTTCAGAACAAGAACAAGTTTGAAGATATTGGCTGTGAAATTCTTAATGTTTATATATGGAAAAGGTTCCTTTGGGGCCTGTTTCCCCAGAAATTTGCATAAAACCTCCCAGCCATCGTGAGGATGAAATTCTAGAAGGGTTTCTGGGGGAACCACAGAACGTATATGCTCGACATGTTTCGAAATATGAGCAGCAAGTGCTTCGTGATCTGTCCATGGCTTAGGAGAAGTGTAGGCGGTGATTGCAAGACGCATGGTTTCATGATCAGCGCCCATTCCTTCCTATACAATGGAGATTTGGACTCTTAGTCTCCGCAAAAAGTTGAGGTTATACAAGATTTAGAGGACGAATGAGGAGACTTGGTTAACCTACAGGATCGATAAATCGTAGAAAGGGCCAAACTCGCCATTCCAAAACTCTATAAATTCAGCTATCGAATGAATTCACCTATGCGACTTGTTTACGGCTGGTAAGAACTACCTTAGCATATGGAAAGGCCGCCAGCATTTCATCAGAGATTGACACATGGCATATCACTAAGGGTCTAATTCGAATTCAGCAATCAAACATGAAGCTATATGCTCAGATTATACCGACACTATACCCTTGCAGAACTTTATCAAAGTCTGCTGATGATATGGCTCGCCGATGCCAAGCATCTTGTATTTGATATCTATAGCCCAGTTGGTTCAAAGCGGTATATATGGCTGGAATAGTGTTAGTTAATGGGATGTCTAAACTGCAGAGTCACTGCACACTCATCGTTGACGTGCGGGAAAGACCCAGACATAACACTTGCATCTCAACGGGCCGTAGGTGGATCGCCGGGATTTGATCAATTTGTCGTTTGGAAGGAATGAATTCTGGGATTCTTTTTTTCTTCCAATTGCCAACTGTTGTGTCAGATTACATCGAGATCTCCTTAACATCCGTATCTTTTGTTGTTCACTGTTGGATCCAACTGCCTCATACGGTTTGTTTGACTGTGCCGCTACGCTGCCGACGTGTGAAGCAAGAAGTGCGGAGAGGTGCGATGGAAATACATTGAAGGCTATTGTGGTTTGTTGGGTAATGATACTCCTAGTAGTACCCTGTATTTCATCATTTGACTTTGTGAGAATGCAATGAACCAGGCTGAATTGAATAAGGTGAAGTGAAGTGTGAGCTAAGAAATGGAAGTGAATCTGCATGGCACGTGAAACTAACGCGATTTCCCATTCGCGTAATGCTCGCCACAACTTTCAAAATTCAAAAGTAACAACCACAAAACATCAAAACAATGGAGGTCAACAGTTCCCATCGAGAAGTAGAATTGGAATAGCAACAGCCAGAAATCTGATCGGATTACCGGCGATTACACCAATTATCAAAACTTTTCACCAATCAATTACGATGTGCACAAGGACAGTCTTATGGAAATCCAGGCCATAATTTCTTGCTAACCTTTCATCGGTTTGGACATAATACTCAATCTTTCCAAGGGTATTGGAACAACTTTGGTATATACAATGGACTACCTTCAAAGAAGGGCAAAGGATTTATGACCCAGCAGCTAAGATGTGGTCAGGAAAATACTCAAGTGCAACATCATCAAGTTTCTATGCATCGGCTTTCATAATTTAGACAGTAAGATGCTGGATCCAATAGCAATATGCAATCATTTCCGAAGCTTAGTCGTGGAACGAACCTTGGCAGAGCTTATTGATGTGGCAATAGACCCGTCAAGATACCAGTGCCACCTTCGTCAAGAAACCCGCAGAATGCGGTTAATTTCAACATAACAAGTCCGTTCAAATCGAAAAAGATGGGGTAATGTAGAACCCAGATCCTTTAATTCGGATACTAGTTCAGAGCGTACCTTAAAGAGTAAAGAAAAAATTGCCGACCCTAATTGTTTGGCAGTCTCAGAATGATACCAAACCAGACAAAAAAGTCTAACTATTCACCTGCCTCCAAAGTCGAGGAAGAAGCACGTCAGCTGTTGGAGATATGGGGACGATAATAAGTATCTGTCGAAATGTCACCAATGCTGCCAGCTTCTTCATTGAAAAGAGAAACAATTTCAGAAGATTCCGACCATGATGGTAAGGAAATTGAATGCGAAGCCGAGCAGGGGCCTGCTAAATTGCGTACGGAAATTCTATCTACTGGAGATGATTTTCATTGATTACAATCAAATGGTCGTAAAAAACGAAGAAGACAATGACGAGCACCATGATGATAGCGATGACCCCTTCTCTGATGATTATAGGGTCAGATTCAGAACAACTGGAAGAGACCAAGGATCAATTCTATCATCACAGGAGCAAGGCTCGAATGATAATACCTGGAGCTCGGAGGATGAGTTAAGCATTTGATTATGCTGGTCAGCAGTCAACTGGATTCTTCTAGATGATACACCCAAGGTAGAAATTACTTTATGAGAAAATAAATGAAGGATTTGGTTTTGGTCCTGAAGAACTATTCTCTCCAAGTGTTATAAGTTCAAGCAAGGACGTCCAGCTCTTCTTGAGAAAAGCAATCATCGGATATTCAACACCATGAACTTGACCATCAAATTTTGCAATAGCATCAAGTATATCATATTTAGTCTATTTTTGAAAAGCGAACAGCCCTGATTTGGTACTTGCTGATAAAAGTCTTACGTTCAGTTGTGGTGATCTATGTACAGTTTCTTAAAATACGAAAGCTGAAACAACCAAGTCAGGCAATATGGGAGGTCACGATCAATTTTATGAAGACTTCCAATTTGCTAAGCAGTTCCAGTTTTTACAGTTGCATGAAAGATACCATAAATGTCAGCTCTGGTATGAAACCATTCAAAAGGGTAAAAAATACTAGTCCGAACGCAGATGGAAATCCTGATACACATTAGCTCCGCATTAGAGATTGGACCAATACCAATATCATCGAGGCATGAGACGCTTATAGAAACGGTTCCAATACTTTCAGTAGAATGACTTTGTTATTGTTGATTCTACGCCACTTCAGTGATGAACCGCCCACGGAAGATCTCAATCAAGCTAACCAGCCCATCGCGCACCATAGTCTCTTCCTTTCCGACTCCAGCAGGATCCCTACATTGAGCATTGGTGACCGTTTTCTCCAGCTCCACACAGATCCTTTCCGCTTTTGCCTTCTCCGTCTTGAGAACGGCGTTCAAGATACTTGGATTATGTCCAATGTCAGTGAACTCCATGGCTCCAATCTTTATGCTCAATGTCATTTTTTTGTCAGCCCCGTTCAAGTCCTTCGTGGATAGGCCGGTAGGATTGGCAAGTAACTCGTAGGCATTGTATACTTGCTGCAAAATCGCCACGCAAAGCATCAACAATGTTGAAGTGGAACTGAGCTCGCAAGAAGAGCACTGAGCCAGGTTTAGAGTTTCGCAAATGAACAGACCATTTCGTGCTGCGGCAAATATACCATCTAATGATGAATTGAGATTACCGCAGACGACAGCATGCAAATTTGAGAGACTCAAAAGTGCGGATTGAAGGCAGTTACAACCTCCTGAAATTCTGTCTGCCAGAATAGGGTCAAAATTGTTTTCATTATTAGAAGGTACTTCACTTCCGTGCGATTGCTCGTGACTTTCATCTCCGCCGATATCGAAGTTAATATCATGTGGAGGATTTTCATTACCAAAAAATATGTCTAGTGGTGGCATACTGAGAAGACTATCGCTATAGTAGTGAGAAGACTCGTGGAAAGAAATATCACACTCATCTATGACATGAGTCGGTTCACGTAGAGCCGAAATTGGCTGACAAGAAGTAGGAATCTCGGGCGCAGAAACTAATCTGTGGTGCTTTTGATATCTTGACTGTGGCGGCAGAGTAACCAAGTCTTTGTGGCCTAGAAAAGTCAGCCTGAAGTAAACACATAAAGCTAGATATACAAACAGGTATTTTCAATCTCATTGCAATTCGAGTCTGTTGTAGTAGAACTTGAGCCAACACCTAAGAATTATAAGTCTAATGTTCCTTGGAAGAAGAAAGTTTACTTGCCATCCATGGTTTGAGCTGGCTTGGTCTGTAGCGAGAAAGAAGTTTTCTTTTTGGGCGACTCTGTTGTTGGTGGAGCTGATCTTTTTCGAGATCGATCTACGTCAATGGCAGCACTGTAGGTGCACGAGTTACCACTCAAACTACACCTTTGACAGCAATCTGGCTCTCTTGTACATTTGACTTTGAATCGGTAGCATTGATCACATGCGGAAGTCTTCGCGGTCTTTTTAGGCGCTATTTGCTGAGATCGATCTCGCTTTGCAGAAGGATTCTCGACATCATTCACACTGAAAGGATAATTGTTCGTTTCTTTGTCTTCTCGAGAGTACTGCCACCAGTCTGAAGATTCTATTTCTATTTATGTTAACTTAGTTTCTGTTTCAAGAGAAGTAAACTTGCCATCTGACGTCATTGAAGTTGATGAGATGGTCAGGTTTGGTACCCCTTCAGAGCCTAGTCCGTCTTATGTGAGCGCATTCATTATTGTGAGTGAGATGAGACCAACCTTCCAATGATATGTTTGAATTGTCCCCACGGTTCGAAGTGTCTGGCTGATCCGGGCCACTTTTTGTCTCATTCTGCAACTGCCGACGGCTCTTGAAGTTCCGCTTGGGTCTTCCCATGAACTTTCCAAAGCTAGTGAAGATTATAAGTTATACAAAGCAATCAAAAATAACAGAGAGGAGTTGTAGTATCTACCTATATGTGCAAGAGCTTTCTAGCTCAGCGCATCTTTGACATTGTATTGGATGTTTGGAGCAACTCTGCTTCGTACGGAAACATTGATCGCAAGAATTAGAATTACTTCCGCTAGGGAACTTGCACTGTTCAGGCATACTGTAGAAAAAAATTGATATGATAAGGATCGGGATTCGAACTTGAATGAGCAGTAGTCATGAAGTGTAGTTAGTGGTGCCATCTGACTTGTTATAGGACTCTCAGATGAACCTTCCACCACTTGCCAAGTGTAACCTTATGACCAAAAAGGTCTCCCTCTAAACCGCTTTCATTCTCCCGGCATAACGCCTTCATCTCACTAAAAAGCGTTTAAAATCTTACCGAAGGACTAGTTCTCGAAGGATGGGATTTACGATTGACGATGTCGAAACAAGCATCGAACATCATTGATTACGAATAACTGGACACTATGGGTAGTACGGCAAAACAACACCATACATGCATCTATCATGCAAGTCGCCACGATTAACTTTGAGTCGCAGCTGAAGAAAAGCAGTCAGAACTTAGTTTAAATTTGAATACGCCGTACACCAGAATCCTGCCGATGTCCCCAGGGCAGTCATTGGGTTGGTGTACGGCCTGCTCTGTATACGCCCCACTCTGATCATACCTACGCATTCTACATCACATCTTCCACGAAGTATGATTGAATTCTGTGTCACTTGAATTAATCAGCCATGGACTGAACATCGAATGTTCCTACAAACAGGTACAGGAATACTGAAACCCAATATGCTACTAGTATTATATAAGACAGCTTATACATACATGTTACAGTGGGTAATTCAGCCATTCTTTTGCACTAATGTACAGTAATACATGATACTAACTCACACTACTCCAATCACTGCCCCGGGTCGCGTACCGGTATCGTAACGGTATTGCTTATCATACCCCAAGAGCTCAATCCGCACATTACTCCAGTCTCCACTTTGTGCCGCTTATGATGGGGTATGTGGCCGAGGCTTGCAGAGGAAGCAACTTCCTAAATTAACAATCGGGCGCCGAAACTGTTGTCTATGCTTGCGTATTACTATCGGGCCAGAGGATTTTGCTGGTTGATTGATCTCCTCGTTTTCCTCATTCTCATCGTCTCTTATTTTGGATATCCACGAGGTATTGCACAATCACGGTTACTTACCGTGACAAGGAACGTCGTTTTGTCGAGTCTAATGAGAACTGGGCGGGGGGAGTGGGGTGGCAGGGGGGAGCCGCAATTCGGCACTACCGACCCCCCCGCCTGGCATATTGGATCACGTGGATGGTTGGAGACACTTTAGCTATGTTCTATGTTTGCAATTGGGATGGAGAGTGAACGTATTGGGGTAGGTACATCTTTCGCTCTCACACATCAATCAACCTAGCGTATCCCTTTGGTGAATTGAGTTGCCTTGAGTTGCCCTAAGTAGGGATTGAAGAAATGAGCTCACATGGGCTAGGATTGTAGAAAGCTCTGGAGCTTTCACTTGATAGATCAACCTTAGTATTCATCAAAACCGATGTTCTCTGATGGAAAGTTCTAAGGTTACTTTCTAAGCCCTTTGCTCCATTTAAAAGCAATCTAATTAAAGCTTAAATTCAACGTTCCTACTTGGGGCAGCCCAGTTCATCAAGATGATGCGGCACTACCGGTACTAGGTACACAAAGTGTGGAACTTACATTTCCGTGAATTGCCCGAAGACGATGATCTCAAATAGAGTGGACGAAACTTCTAAGCAGAGTTCAGCCAATCACAAGATGCCAAATCTAAACTCTTTGCTGATTGTTTGACCACCATCTAGATTCTCAATGCAAGGTCTTCGAATGTCTGATAATTCGGCACCGAATTCTTCAAGGATTCTCAGACCTAGTGCGTTCCTCGAATTATTAATTTGATATTGAGTTTTCTCACAGATATACTCAATTGTAAACTCTACATGATGGGCAATTACTCATTTTCCGATTTTCAGTCACTGACTCAAGTTACTCACGTGTTTGTCCGGTGGACAAAAAATGTGCAAACAACAAGATTCATTTCTGTGAGCTACGACACAATGAGGAGACAAAACTCTGACAAAGGAGTGGCTAAGGTCAACACCAGCACATCATTCCCACACAATCACTCGGGTGATCAATTCCCCACATCATGTCATTTATTTGAAGACCTGGTTGACGGTCAGTCACCAAAAGGCCCCAGCTTCGAATCTGCTAGGAGATAGCACTGAGTACCACCCAGGGTCAGCAAAGAACTCGAAGACAGCTCGGAATCTTACCTACAACTGGCATGGATTATTTGAGCAGTCTTAATCCACCTTGAGCTTTGTGGGTTCGGCTTCAGCGTTGCGGTCAACCTTGAGCTTGGTGGGCTCTGCCTCAGCATTGCGATCGACCTTGAGCTTGGTAGGCTCTGCCTCAGCATTGCGATCGACCTTGAGCTTGGTGGGCTCTGGCTCAGCGTTACGATCGACCTTGAGCTTGGTAGGCTCTGCCTCAGCATTGCGATCAACCTTGAGCTTGGTACGACGGTCAACCTTAAGCTTTGTTGGCTCAGCTTCAGCGTTTCTGTCAACCTTGAGCTTGGTACGACGGTCAACCTTAAGCTTTGTTGGCTCAGCTTCAGCGTTTCTGTCAACCTTGAGCTTGGTACGACGGTCAACCTTAAGTTTTGTTGGCTCGGCTTCAGCGTTGCGGTCAACCTTGAGCTTGGTGGGCTCTGCCTCAGCATTGCGATCGACTTTGAGTTTAGTGCGGCGGTCAACTTTAAGTTTTGTTGGCTCAGCTTCGGCATTTCTATCAACTTTAAGTTTTGTAGGTTCTGGCTCAGCGTTTCTGTCGACCTTAAGCTTGGTACGACGATCAACCTTGAGCTTTGTTGGCTCGGCCTCAGCGTTGCGATCAACTTTAAGTTTTGTAGGTTCTGGCTCAGCGTTTCTGTCAACCTTAAGCTTGGTGCGACGGTCAACCTTGAGCTTGGTGGGTTCTGGCTCGGCGTTGCGATCAACCTTGAGCTTGGTTGGCTCTCGTGCTTGCAAAACATCTCTTGCTTCGACTAGTAGGTATTCTTTAGCTTGCTACCTGTGCAAATGCAGTGAGTGATTATTTACCTGAGACTGGAGCAGCAGCAACGCTGGTGACAAATGCCACGATGGCGAGGATCTGAGAAACCTTCATATTGAATAGATGATTATAGGATGTTGAAGATAGGTTGAGCTTGACGGAATAGCTTGTTGATGAGTAGGAATGTTCTTTCTCAAACTGATAATTTAAATATATATATACTTCACTGATCGTTCTCAATTATCGTGCTCAACTCAAAGAATTGCCTCAAAGACCGATTTCTACACCCCAGATTTGGTTCTGGCTAACTGCAGACTGCGCCGAAGAGTGGACCTACGCAGACACTTTCGGGGATATTGTTTCAAGCCAGTCTACGTCAGACATTTGGTTTGAGGGTTTCCCCGTGATTGACTCTCCCTATGTGAGAAAGCGGTGATACCCGGAGTTTGTTCGGTGGGAATTTCGGGCCCGATTTCTGTCCGGGTACGACAAGCCTCGGACCACTACTATTTCTGCTGTAAGGGATTTCCCTGGAGAGGTCTCCCCGAGTCCCAAAATACCTTGTTCCGTTAATCAGTCGAATCTTGGCTCAGGAATCGCGCTCACGAGTTCTAGCTAAGACGATATCGATATTTCGGGGTGACCGAAATTTTATTGTTCACATCTCCATTCTGAGATAGTATTTTTCATCTGGTATAGATTATTAGACAGGTTCAAAGATTCTAGACAAAATGCCGTGGATAAGTTTAAGATACTGTAGAATCTATACTAGTCGCGTGTATCTAACGTGATCGCGATGACAAATTTATGGTTTGGGGAGAAATATCACAGTAATTGGTTATGGGCTAAGTTGCATGTTCTCAACTTTTTGAATCTATGAACACACAAGACAGTTGAAATTAGAAAATTTGCACGAGTATCAATGTATATTTCATTGTAAGAATCTATCTGAGTAGCTATTTAGAGAGATGAAACAATCAGATCAGCCTCCAATTGTCTCGCGAGTTTAATAGATCCCAAGTCCACAACTCGCCAAAATAGGTCCCCGAAAAATATAACAACCGGGGTAATGCAGATGAATGAAATCGTGAATCCAAATGCGTGATTGAAGTCAGTGTCATTGCCAGTGAGCTTCCAGATGGCTGGTTGAAGTCGCCAACCCCAAGAGGCAAGGATCGGCCAATGTACCAAGTACAAACCAAACGAAATCTGGCCGAGATATCGAGGAATTGGAGAAGTAAAGATTTTTTGGAGGAGAGGTAAATTCGAGATTGCCCAGACGATGAGGATGGATCCGACTACGAATACATTAGATTCCCAGGAAATGATAGCCGAAATTGTCTGGAATCCAAAGGTAGTTGATCCATATGATCCATGGATATGAGGAATCGAAGCCAACCATAAACCAGAAAACAAGACTACAGACCACCCAAAAGCTGACGCTAATCTTTTGCTCATGGGTTTGGGTACAACTGCGGATCTGGCTTTACGAACGTGATGCTCAGCGATAAGCATTCCGCAAAGAAAGCAAGAAATATCGTATCGCATACACCAAAATGCGTAGTAGATCAAGAATAAAGTGAAGCCGAGACGAACGACTGGTCTCAATCTCCCCAAGCCAGTGAGTGTAATGAATAGCATGAAAGAACACCATAGTTCTTTTGGTATGGTGTACAGAGGTGCCGCATATTCAGACTTTGTCACGTTGTGAAGTGATACTGTCCACTCGTAAGGGTATAGCAGCTTGCTGAACACGTATTCCAACCAGTCCACAAACTGTAGTAAGAATGTTTCTTGATAGATTGGGCCGCCAAGGTCCATATCCACCGTTCCAGAGTATTTGGCGTCAAACACGTGTGTTCTTGTGAGTAACATGATCACAAACGTTACTGCCATTGGCGGAAGCACTATTCGAAAGGCTCTTCGAAACGTGGCAGAAGATAAGGAACGGTACAGTCGTTCCCAATCTTTCTCATAAATCAACTCCAATGGTCGAAGCGCCAGAGCGAAGCCAGAAATCACAAAAAATATAGCGACCATTACACTGCCAGAGAATGCAAGACGGATGATGGGTAGTTGCCAGAAATACGGATGATCTCCATATTCTTCAAACATCAAAGGATGGAACTTCATAGCGACGTGCTCTAGATAGACACAAAATGAAGCAACTCCTCGCATGCCATCTAGGTATGCTGTTGGACTTTGGCGTGTAGGGACTTCGACTTTGTAGCCGCAGAATCTTGATATTGGACTCGGCAAAAGAGTAATGAAAAGGGCTTTTAGCCCATGGTGAAACTTGGACATAGCCGATGTCTCCTCATCGAAAGGCATGCTTTGAAGAGTTTCATCACTCATTGCGTCTTCACTGCCACGCTCATAGCTTTTCTGGTTGTCGAAGTCTTCGGATGTCGAGTTCCATTGAGATTGGGCTGAGTGCTTCTCTGCCAAAGAGTGTTGAGATCCGGCCGTGGTAATATCAGATTCAGGTATCGCCATTTTCAATAGCAAATTGAGAGGATGAAGTTAGGCTAGCTAGGAGACAAAACATTCCACAAAATTTCAGAAGCATGTTGCAAAGTATAAGGACCATTGAGAATGAGGACCAATTCTCCAAGACCGAGACCGATTCGTAGGGACTACCTCGAGATTCGGAAATGCTACATTAAGATACGCAACTTTAGTTCATCCTGTGCTACCAGGAATAACGCGCAACATTGACGATGCATCTCTTGCACACACACACCGAATTTGAAGGCTCCGAATCTTCACGCACCGATTCTGTCAGGAAACTTCACGTAAGAATTTAGCTTCGTCGGCGCATATTCGTCGGGTATGTGCATGGCAGATACCGTGTTCGTTAGACATCAGTCTTGACGAAGCTTGTATGTACTGCGATACAAGCTTATCTTTCAGGTCAACCTTCAATGGCTAAACTCCGCATGTACCACGCGTACACATGCGAGCATGGACTGATCTTATGGTGATCTTCAAGAAGGGATATTTCCGAGTACTGAATTGGTTCAGAAGGAGGGGTTCTCGTGATAGTGCAGGTCAGCTCATCGCCACGTTTTCCTGCATACACCTAGTTGTGTACGACGTAGAGGACGGACCGCCAATTCGTATATGTAAGGTTGCTGAATGAGCTCTAGGATTGCCGGGATCGCTTTAACCTATTAGAGTTGATGGCCCGTGCACATATCCCATCTTTCTTCTCACGTGCCATCTCGTATACAGAACTGCAGACCTCACCTCACCTACTCTGTAGTACTCCGTACAAATGTTCGTTCTAATTTGTAGCTTCGCTTGAGTCAACTCGCTCTTGTTTTGGAGCTAGAATTTCCTCAACTATGCATTACGACCGTTACATTCTCTTATCTGAGGAGTGTTGTGAAGGATCGACGCGTTTGATCTTCCTACCCTTTACGCGTACGGCGGTGACTGCTTACTAGTAGACACATAGAAGATACGATCAGGATCTCGATCTCAACATTCAGACACTGTACACTATCTAGTGTCCACAGTGTGAAGTTAAATTTGTGACAGGCTGGTCAGGGGCTACAGGGTCTATGCTACAATTCAGCAAGGAGAAATTTAAGGTTTTGACTCTAACCAATGCATCGGATCAGGGTCCACTTCATTTCATGAACCTAATTCGAAATTTCATTCCTTTCGATAAGCCTGACTAATTCCGAACATTAAGATCCCCCAGGGCACAAGCATGAGGTCATAGGCAAAGCCTCGTGGCCGTTCTAGGAACAGGAACGTTAGTGTCTGGTTTGAAGTTCAGACTACGTACTGACCTCCAAGCTCACATGATCACTCTCAGCGAGAGAATGCTATGAAATCACTCCAATCTCACGTGACGGGATCTCTGTGTTCTGTCAACTCGCTTCGAAAGTTTTTATTATAGGATTGAATTATCATTCAAAAGTGCTATCTATTATATGCACTTCGCTACATTTGTCTCCTGTCCCAGCTATGCAGCTTTGATATCTGTGCGTGATTTTAAAGCCAATCCTTTAACAATCAGGAAAGTCGATATTGATCCTAGTCATAACTGTATCAAAGGACGCAGTCTGGTTCATCAACTGATCTGTACAACTGCAGGATCAGGGAGTCAGTAAGGCGTTTGAATGAAGGTAATCGGGGGAGAGAGATGAACTGGGTATCTCGGAGTGCAAAGTTAGTTGGACGGATTGTACTGACTGCTCTGTGTGATGGTAAGATGACAATCCAGATTCCAAAATTCCTCCCCTTATCAAGGACCGATGCATCATTCTCCATCCATAGGAACAATGAAAGATATGGTATTTTCTCGTCGTCCAAACCATCACCTTAACCTCGGACAGCTCTTTATAATCCTTAACAGGCTTTGTTCCCTCCATATCGTAGAAAAATGGCTCTGAAGCCACTTCGAGGAACTCTTCAGATAGTTCATCGTCGTAGCAGTCTCGATGAAGCCAAGACATTGTCATCAAATCAAAGATACAACCATTCGCTTTTGCAGTTTCAGAGTCGAGGCCGCAAGGTTGGAGTTTATGCGCTGTAGAGGGATTCACGCGGGACATGCCAACGGGTAGAACACCGTCTCCAACAGCAGACTGAGATTTGAGGAATGGTGAGCCGTTGATGAGATAGAGAACGAGGATGAGTGCTGTGAAGACGAATGTGCCAATTTGAAGACCCAATTCAATTCGAGAGGTCCGGGTTCTGTGTCTGCTTGTGCCATTGCTGGTTGAGATGAAAGGAGCGTCTTCTTCGCCTTTGTCTGCATCTCGTTCGCCGTACATTCTGCTAAGAAGTGTGTATTTTGGCTTCCCTGGATACGCCATGATTTGAAGTTAAAACCCGTGGGCGATCTATAAGCACAGAAGAAGGATGGTGTAGGTGATTTAAAAATTGAGAGTGTAAGATTATGGGTGCTAGAATCAGATCAAAGGCAAATGAATGGGATAGTGATAGACACTTGGCACATAGCCAATCGTTTGATGTCGCCCGAACACTCTCGGACATGAGTTTTGGCACCGAAGAAATATTCCATAATGCAATTCCATAAACTCTCCGGTGGAGATCATAGAGCAGTAATCTTAATTTAGCTAAATGTACATAATATTTTCCGTACAACATATTGTTTAATAAGGCTAGGTTCTAAACCTTTAATGTTATGCTCTAAGTTCTATAGGTCAAACAAAAACTTCTTCAGCATGTTGTGAGCACGTGTGAAGGATATTGAATTCGTTGCTCAATAATTTAACATGCGCCCAACTATTTCTTTTTCTTGACATTGCAGAAAATTATCTCATGTCTCACGTAGTATAAGTGTCTCGGTTTTGACGAAGACGAGATTGAACGATATTTCACATAGCATCCACATAGAAAGAGATATCAGACTGAAATTGAAATTTGGACTTGATTAACCAAGATTTACTATACTACGATATTTCCTTAAGCTACATATTAATTAACATCTCTAATCCTAACACACTTTCCAAAAAGCAATTGAACTCTTGTGGTGACTTTCTCAAACTCTACTCTCTCAGGATCCAAAAATACACTAACGCAGTGGTCCGTATGGAACATTCCTATCCCTTCATTTGTAACAAGATGTCCACTCATTGCCTATCCAAATTGTCAGCATCCATTCAGAATTTCGTAAATCCAAGCAACTCACAGCAATATGCAAGAGCTTGAAGATATAAGCGCAATGAGCAATATGGTAATGTTCCTGTGTCCACACCATTGGAATGTCGGTTTCTGCCGTCACAGATGTAACCCATGGCAGCTCCTGTTCCGTAAGCTCGTATCCTGGTTTCTTATTGGTATTTGAATACCATTTCCACGGCCCATATAACTCGAGAAATTCATCCGAGATGTTCTTGTTGTAGCATGCGGGATGTGTCCATGAAAAAGACATGAGATCCCACACGCAGCCTTTTTCTAGGGCCTCTGCTGGACTATTTCCACAGTCTACGATGATCGTGTCGCCTGCTTCTACCAAGGGCCATCCTCCTGGTTTCAGGTCAGGCGTAATTGCTGGGATATAGTTGATAGAAGGTTTACGGTCGAGCAGTGCAGCAAGAGCAAAGAGAAGAGTGGCTGCTAGAATACTTGATATTATGGCAATAACAGTAGAGCAATTCCACCAGCGTCGTGATGGGGCTCCCAGGTACTCTTGCTGTTTGGAAACTTTTTCTGTGTCGTAGTTGTCGTCACCGGATAGACCCATTCCACCCAAGGAAAGAAAACCTTCGTCCTCTCCATTAGGAGTTACAGAATATGTGTGAGAGTCATAATCTAGCGCTATGGGAACCGTTTAGCTTTGCCAATATGAAACGTTTAAGCGCAAATTTAATACTCACCATTCTTGACCTTGCCAACAACCGCCGTTCCAAGAGCTTTGGGGGCCATCTTTACACTTGATGGTAATCAAATTGGGCAAGAAAATTGCTCAGCTGATAGGTCAAAGAAATGAATCGAATTAACAATTTATTTCCTCTGAACAATTTCCGAAGAATATGAAAAGGAAACTCTGGATCAACATATCGGGCTTAGAAGTATTAAAGTGGGGCCGTCGCACTAACGACCACCCCGAAAGCTTTCGGAGCCTATTTCGACCACCCTCCTCATTTGGCGAGTTCAAAAAACATACGTGTGGTGCTGCCAATGCTACTGCGGAAAAACTCCTTCTATTCAAGTTGGAGAATTGAGCAATCAAACAGTATTTTTTCCATACCCAGTCAAAGAACATTGACAAAATGCCATACGCCGTGCAATACGTATCCACAAGCGATGCACCAGGTCTAGCAGAGGCGATGATGAGCGCCTGGTGGCAAGATGAACACTGGAAATTTCTATGGGCAAAAAGCAACACGACGCTTGAGCAAATAATTTCTGATTGCAGTGAGCGCTTGCCATGGAACTTCATCAGCGGCCGGAGCGTCAAACGGCACCTCAAAGTTGTTGATACAGATTCTGGAGAGATAGTAGCGTATTCGCGATATATTTTACCCGAGACCCATACCGAGATATGGCCCGAAGCGCAGATTTCGGAACCTAGTTCTGAGGAATTGGCGGAATATGAAAGAAAGTTTAAGAGTGTCACAGACAATGGAAAGATAAGAGGAATGGATTATGCGTTTGCGTCGGAGTTCGGGAATCCTCTTGCAGAAGTGGAGGAAGAGATTTTGAAGGATAGTGGTTCTTGTTTTGGTATGTTTGATAATAGTCTACAACATAAAGAAATAGGACTTTCTAACTCCGAAAAGCTGTGGATTACATGACGACCCATCCTGCTCATCAACATCATGGAGTAGCATCGATGATGTTGAATCAAGCTCTCAAAGTTGTAGATAAAGCGGGCTTGAAATCAATTGTAATGGCAAGTCCGGCTGGTCAAAGATTGTACGAGGGACATGGCTTTCAATTCGTGCGCACTCTTGTTCAGGATGATTCTAGATACGGAACTACATCGCCCTACGTTCATTCTTGGCTTATTAGACCATCTCCTAAGTAGAATCACGAAATAATAACGAGGAATCGCCACTGATGTATTCTAGTGTTGCAAAGTGATATCGGAATTCTTTTTCAATGGTAGCTTCTGATTTTGATAATAGGTAGATAGAAATTTGGAAGAAATGCAAAAACATCAGTGTTCTGCATCTTGATACTGATAGCCAGTTCAATTCAACGACTGGATAACTCAAGCATACCCTACATCTTCATTGTTAATCTCACTCAACCTTACACATGGATTATACAACATCCTGATCCAGGTGTTCATTACTTCGCCATTTCCCCATTCTCCATTCTCATACCTGCCTATCAGGTTCTCACAATGATCCCTGTGGTAATCCCTTGCGATTTCCTGCGGAACAAGAATATCATCATTTCCCACCGCTCGCGCTATTATTTTCATCGTGTACACGCAGTGCTGATAATGATAATTTATTTGAGTCCACGTCTCGACAGATCGCTTGAGAACCTCAACATCCTGTGGCAATGCAAGCGTGAGGTTTTCTCCAATATACCATGGCCATGGTCCAGTGGCCAGCGCTTCTTCGTACAAGTCTTGGTAGAAACACTCTGGAGCCGTGAAACCGTAGTTCATCAGATCAAAAACGCAACCGTATTGCTCGGCTTGGCTTGGAAAACTTCCACATCTTTTAGTTCCTCCTAATTCAGGCGAAGGCCCTTCACCCGCATCGACAAAATCGGGTTGAAGAGAGTTCTGTTGCGACAAAGTCCGGATTCTCACAAATGAGCCTGGTGTATGGATTGTGAAGCTCGAGATAGTGAGTATGAGGATACAAAGAGTGGCGAGAACTCCGGAAACGAGGAGTGACTTTGGTGCTTGAACGAATTCTCGTAAAGTTATGCTGAGACTTTGCTTTCGTGCCCGGTAATGCATGGGGTTTTCCATTATCGGCCCCTCTTCATCATCCTCATCGTCGCCCATGGGCACAGGGTCATAGAGCTTGACCTCTCCCATCTCATCATCATGAATTGGTTCTAGAAACAATATCTTAGCAGATTCTCAATAACGGAGAAAGATGCAATTTACTCATTCTGACTTAAATTTCGATCGTAGTGGATCCGTAAGAAGTGCCAAAGAAGAAGACTAACAATTCTAAGGTACCAGAGAAATACGCTTATCGCAAAAAGAAGACGACAACATGGTACCAAAGTAGTGATAAAAAACTCGCTTATATGACAGAATCGGAAAATTAATTGTGTTTGTGATTCGGTGACTTCGGGTGGGGAACTGTCCCGACTATTTTCGGACATTTCTGAGCCCGAATTTCAGACAAGATCTATCGCTGCAGTACACAGCCAACCAAACCAAAGAAGAAGATTGTCTTGGTGGCACTCTCCAATCATGCCATGTCACTTGAGTGTGGGTCTCTTGAAGGTGATTTCTCTTCTATCTTCCGGGTGATTTGTACGTTTCTGTAACATGCTTGGTTTTTCGACATTTGCTCGTTGAAAAATCTTCCCTACCACACATTACTCTCCGGGAAAATCAATAGAATGCCTCATCATTACGAACAAGTTAGATCATCAACTACAACGATTCGAAAATGGAGAGAAGATGAGGAAGTTCCAAGTCGTAGCAAGTTGTATTTGCTCTGTCTTACAATATGTATAGGAGGGTAAGTATCTATCACTGAGCACTTTGTATGCCGTCAACTAATTTTTTCTAGACTCCAAGTTGTTTGGGCAACAGTGATGGCCCAAGGATCTGTATTATTCCCTTGAATTTGGTAAAACATTGTCAGATACTGACCTCGCCAGAGTTATCTCATTTCCCTTGACTTGCGACCCTCTGTAGTATCTTTGGTCTGGCTAGCGGGACCAATCTGTGGCACTCTGCTCCAGCCTTATATAGCATACAAGAGTGACTTTTGTACACATAAATGGGGACGAAGAAGACCCTTTATGATATACGGTACAATTGCTACAATAGCCTGTATCAACGCTCTTTCCTGGACGAGCGAAGCCGTTCGACTAATCTGCAATCTTTTGGGAGTGTCAGATCATGGTTTTGGTGCAAAATTTGTCATTCAGATACTCGCAGTCGCGGGGGTATGGCTACTGAATGTCGCCATTCAACCTGCCCAGGCCAGTATCAGGGCGTTAATCGTGGATGCATGTCCAGGTTCTCAAGCAGCTAAAGCAAATTCTTTTGCAAGTATTGCGGTTATCATTGGAAGTGCAATAGGATATGGTTGTGCTTTTATTGAGATGCCAAAAGAACCTGCTTGGTTGACCAATCCTCAGTTCAAAGGTCTCTGCTTCATTGCCTCTATTTCGCTCGGTGTCACTGTCACTATCACATCTGTAATGATTGAGGAGAAGGCGGTAGATATTGACAACGATGGATCCGAAAAATCAGGGCTCCGGAAAATATGGGTAGACATATACAGAGCGATTAGAACACTGCCCCCCACGATCAAGATGATAATGGCAGTCCAGTTTTGCGCCTGGTTGGCTTGGTTCCCATTTCTTTTTAACATTGTATTGTAAGTTCAGCGCCATATTTGATAGAGCCGCATCACTAATTTTCTGGTCACATGAAGATTTCTCAGTAGGCTTTGTAAGCTACACAAACTCCTCATACGATTATCTATTACTGACCACATCAATGTAGATGAAGTTCAAACTCTTTCCGAAAAAATGGGTCCACCCTCGACCAAATTTTATAACGGCCTTCGACAGCAGTCAATTCGGCATGCTACCCTGGCAATGCTAGTCTTCTCGATGGTGGCACTTGTCACTAACCTTTGCCTGCCTTATCTCATCATCGATGCGGATTCATCATCTAAGTCAAAACTACAATGGCAGAAGGAAGAGCGATCCACACGTGCAAAATCTGGCATCTTCGTGGTATTGCGAGAAAAACTTGCGAATCGCCTAACACTTCCCCGAATGTGGATGATATCACATATTGTCACTGCTTTCGCGCTGTGTGGAGTAACTCTTGGAGGAGACGGTTTCATGACAAGTGTATTATTTGTCTCACTGATGGGCTTTTCTTGGACACTTACCCAATGGGCTCCTTTTGCCATGATTGCCGCCGAGATAGCTTCTTCATCTATACCAGATTTAAAAAGCATGGAAACAGACACAGAGGGCCAATCCGCTAGTCTAGTTGTTGTAGCCGACCTGAGGCCGAGGGCCGGCATAACGATGGCTATACACAACATTGCCATTGCGACACCACAGATGCTGTCAGCTATCGTGGGAGCTCTAATCTATTGGGTATGCAGACAATCACATACTGGGGAAACTGACGCCATGAGATGGGTGTTGAGAACGGGAATTGTAGCTGGTTTATGTGCTGCTTGGTGTGCGAGGAAACTATGATCGAGGTTGCTTTTGAGTTTGACCTTCATGATTCTGAGAATCCTCAAGCCATTCTTGCAGACTTCTGAAATCTCAACACCGACTTGATTGCTTGCTTGCATGCTTTGGGTATACACAAAAGAATTAGACTACATAAATTCTCAAAATAACTTCTACCAAACTTATCGAAAAGACATCAAAAAGCTATAACACGATACGTAATCCATGAATAGAAATCACCCATATAAATAAGTCCTCAAAAAGTCTTGAACTAGAATTAGAAATCATACGAGCATAAATCGTATATCTACCATCCATAGTATTCTCCACAAAGGTGAAAAACAATTAAAAATCTCCTGGACGCCTATCAGACCTATTCTTGACGCAAGTCACCATACTAAAATGGAGGGTAAATGCATGTTCCACAAGTCCCGATTCTGAATGTCCGATTTTGTACGGACTTCACTGGACCCGTTTTTCAAACCCTTCTACGGCTATACAACTTGAACAGTAACGCGAAAATCCATTTCTTTACTCTCTCTGTATGACTGCGGAGACTTCTTTTACACTCTATGTTGAATCCTACATTTCCATGCAATCCTGTCACCTGTAATTCTTGAGCTCAATCGATTCGGGCACCACCATAGCCATTTTTTACAACTCTCAGAAATATCGTACACTGTCTTCAAAAATTTCTGGTGTGCGACTGACACAGCCATTTATCACCAAAATATGGCTCGTTTCGAAGATGCAGTGTCAAAACTCAGAAAATGTATGGAAAGTCTACTTCCGCACAAACTTTTAGGATGTACATCTAACTTATCATCTAATAGGGGCATTCCCATCCGAAGAAAACAATGGAAGCGATGAAAAACTGCTCGCTAGCACATCCTCATCATCCGCGTCATCGATAGATGGCGAAGATTCCTCTTCATCTGAAAAAGAGACAAGACATCAAACCCATCATAGAATCTTTTTCATCTCCAGCATTCTCGCCATAATTGTCCTAGGAGCCGTGACTCTCACGACTCTGCTTGTAGATAGCCACAGTGGAGTTGTACCCAATACTCCTCCGCCGCCTTCTCAAGGCGGCTCCAAAGTCGTCGCCCACTGCGGAATCTCAGCGCAAGAAGCTATGGAACGCGGCTGCCTATGGGACATCATGTCATTCGGCTGGATCCACCCTCTCTGTTTCGACAAGGAAGAATCTGATCGCTGGGCGGCAAAATACGGACCATTCGACTGGTACGTTGATGACGGACAGGCAGTAGATGAAAAAGAACAACCTATCAATGGAACCCTGACGCAGCCGTTGAGTTTGGATGAGATTCCTTTCGCACAATCGGTCTGGACAACTCAGGGGTACCACATTATGCATTGTTTGTATCTGTTAAAGATGGTCCATGTGGCGGCATTGAACAGTGATCCGGTGAGCAATGAGGCTGTGAATCTAGGGCACACGGATCATTGCGTGGGATTGATTGGGAATACTGATCTGATTGAGTACGATGCGATAACCACACCAGTGCGGCTGCTTTTTGTACAATGTGTTACCCTTCAATGACGAGGAATATAAAATCAGCTGGAAAGTAGATGTATTTAAGACTTTTTTACTTGCCAGTGGAGTGGAAAGACTAGATAACATCAGCAATGGAATCAATTTGAAATTGTTGGGAATCGCTCTTCATCAACCTTTCATTACTCAAAATACTCAAGGTACTAACAAGAATACTTCAGAAACCAAAATATTGAGGAATATTTAAAATATAAATGCTGTTCACAATTGAGTGAGTCCAGGGAAAGATTAAAGACAGAAACGTAGAGAAGGAAACTGTTCAATTATGCTGGGTTTGCGGAATGTACAGAGTACGATAGCTGTACATATCTTCATTAATATTTCTTAATTCAATGAGTCATCTGCTAGCAAAGCTAGCAAAGCTGAGTGCATACTCTTGAACTTTTGCAAGAGCCTAGCAAAATCTATTTATACTTCTACAGTCATCATCCCTTCAAAGGCACCTAACAGGGCAAACCAAATCCACACAACGTATGCTTCGTCGCGACCGATTAATCAACGATTTATTTTACCCCATTTTGTTGCGCCCCGTTGCCATTCCCTTGCCCTCGATTTTGATTCACGATGGCTTGTGAGTGCTGCTGCTGCTGCTGTTGTGCTGCTTGTTGTTGTGCCTGCTGAGTAATTAGTCTCTGCTGATGATGATTACTCAACATTTGAGCGTACATCTGCGGACTAGCATTCTCGATGCCGATTGGCGGTGGTCGCTGTCCTCCTTGACCATTCATTCCGATGCTGTTGTTACCGGCCGCTGCGTTCATAGCGCTGGTTGCTATGCCGCTTGGAGGTTGAACCAAGCCTCGCTGCTGCAAATGCCTG